CCCAGCGGATGAGGGTGGAACTGCAATTTATTTCACTTCCGGGATTGCTGCAATTTTTCACCCGCATTGTGGGGGCTTGATGCTGACAAATGCACTATGCCTAGCTGGACAGATTTTCACACACTGCTTCAAGGTGGATGCGCTCTGCAAAAATCATTGCGGCATTATCTTCCAGTCATTGAGGCTTCACCCACAGATATGTCAATGGTCAACACAATCCTGCTGAGAAGTGTTGAAATTGCTGATGAGCTGGAACTTGGACATATAGTGTTAGTGTTTGACCAGGCTATATACGCAAAAGCGCAGCAAATACGTTGGAAGAATGATGATTTCACACAGCGCTTAGTGCTCAGACTTGGAGAGTTTCACACATGCATGTCCTACCTGGGAATTCTCGGGAAAAGATATGCAGATGCAGGAATGCAAGACATACTACTAGAGTCTGAAGTTGTTGCCCCAGGGTCCATCAGTGGCATGGTCAGTGGTCATCACTACAACCGCACACAAACTCCCATATGAGAGTCTGCAAAGAATCAGATTCAATGCCTTCTTAGATTATTTGTTCCCACAGGAGAAAGATGATTACATGCAAGTCATAAGTGAGGGCATTTTTGCATTCCCAGGCAGAGTGATGGATATGTTCTGTGCAAATGACAAGTACAACAAAATGTGTACAAAGTATGCTGACTTTGTATAACAGAGAAGTGATGAAAACCCAACGTTTGCTTTCAGGAGTTCATACATCAACATGGTCCAGATACTACTTCTGTTTGTGAGAGCAACACAAGAATCAGACTGGCAGCTCCACCTGTCAACAATCCGCTTGATGGTGCCATGGTTCTTTGCGTATGATCGTGTGAACTATGCTAGGTATTTACCATCATACTGGTTGGAAATGGTGAATTTGCCCATGACACTTCCTGTGTGCCATAGTGAGATCAGTGTTAAAGGCCAGTGGACTGTCCAACGTCAAAGTGTACATGGATTTGCCTCTATTGCTTGTGACCAGGCTATTGAGCAAACATGCAACAGAGATTCAAAGACAAAGGGTGGTTGGACAGGGATAACTCAGAATCGAGCTGCTGTGTATCGCAGGATATTGTCACAACATGAAAGAGCTGCTATAGCAAGACAGTGTGAGTCTATGGCAGGAGTGTCTTCAGAAACACGGAAACAAAAAGACCTTGACAGCTCTCGAATTTACGTGGATGAAAATGCTGTGAACAGAATCGTTTCCACCATTGATTCCATGCTGAACCCTTTCGACACCGATCAAAGATGGCATCGTGCCTCTTAGCTCTGGGAGAATAGCAACAGAAGAGATTAAGGAGGATTTGCTTACAGCTTCAGAAAAGGGAGAAAATGCTGTCAAAGAGTTCATGGACAAAAGATTAACACATTCAGTTGACTCATTCACTCCCATCAAAGCACAAAATCTGAAGACCTTTAGTGACCAGGCAAAAACCAACAGAAAATATGCAGTGGGCAAGGAAGTGATTCTCAATGAGGACAAGAAGCTATTCTCCAGACTACTCATCATAGGTCAGAGTAGAAAGGTAGACATGAAGGAAATTTTGTCTTACTCCCTGGGAACAGTTTCATATCCTTTAGCTGGTGCTGACGGTTCACTAGCAAAAACAAACAAGTCAGTCCTTCTGGATATTTCGGAGAACAAAGCTGGAGACTGCTTGGTTGACAAAGTTCCAGCAGAAGGTGCTGTGCTCTTTGATGGGATGGCAGTCATTCAAGCTATTCGTTACAGACCAATCACTTTTGGGAAACTTTCTGGTGTCATATTGCAGTACATCATAACAATAGCTCAGCTGCATAAATGTTCAAGGACAGACTTTGTGATTGACCAATATCCAGAAATGAGTCTTAAAAGTCTAGAACGTTCACGGAGAGCTGGTGGTGGAACACAGGGAATGCAAATCTACAGACGAGATCAGAGGACACCAACACAGTGGAAAAAGTTTCTGTCAGACGGAACAAATAAAGAGGCACTGGCAGAATTCCTTTATGTTGCATGGAAAGATGCTAACCTTAAATCTGTGGGGCAAAACCTCGGCTTGTACATAGCACATGGAGTACAATGCCACTGCGTGACAGTTGCAGAGGGGTTACAAACTCTGACTACTGTTGAAAGTTTGACATGCGATCATGAGGAATGTGACACCAGTGTTTTTACATACAAAACATGCTGCACAGGAGCACAACACAGTGATCATAAAGAGTCCTGACACAGATGTGGGAGTGATAGCTGCAAGTCTACAGAGAGAGTTACCATGTAGCTTATATTTCTTCACAGGAGTTGGTAACAGAAGTAGAATCATTGACATCGCTAAGGTCTCATCAACTCTTGGCAACAGCCTGTGTTCTGTGCTTATTGGGATTCATACCTTTTCAGGTTGTGACTCTACAAGTGCTTTCTATGGGAAAGGCAAAAGAAAGACATTTTCTCTTGCTTGTGAAAAAACAAGTATCTGACTGCATTTACAAATTTGGGTAGTAACTTCTACTTGGACGCATCAACTTTTGCAACACTCTGCAAATATGTATGCCACCTGTATGAACAACCAACTGCCCAAAATGTAAATGAAGCCAGATACAAAGCATTCTGCATGGCATCAGAATTATCTATCCCCCCTACAAATGATGCCCTGTATCAACACTTGAAAAGGTCAAACTACCAAGCAGCCATAATGAGGTCAGCTCTGAAAGCTAAGACATGTGCCCCCTCACCTGCTGGTAATGGATGGCACATTGAGGATGGCAAGCTGACAGTTACCTGGATGACTAGAAATCCTGCCCCTGACTGATGCAGGTAGTTCACTGTGGTTGCTGGAAGGGCACATGCGAGACAGGAAGGTGTTCCTGTACTGTATGTCAGCAGGACTGTCATGCACAGATTTATGCCAGTGTCAAAATTGTGCAAATGTATCATTAGCCAGTCTTTAGCCAATGAAGAAAAAGCTGCATCTGACTACAGCTCTGACAGTGACAGTGATGAGTGATACACTGTGTTCTTGTAAATGTGTGAAAATGTTGTGTGAATTTGTAAATAATATTTTTCTGTAAATTTTTAGGATATCAGCACAGGAGGACACTGGGGATGCAGCAAATCATTTATAAAAAAAACCTTGAGGTGTGCAGATATGTTTTCTGTGTATCTATGAACCATGTTCAATGGTTTATTGTTATATTTCTGTCTTAAAATGTTCTGCTTTTATTTTGACATTTGTTTTGATTTTAGATGGACTGAGACGCGTGTAAACATTACTCATATAGGAGGACATGATCGTTTTCAAAGTGATCTCAGAAAATGTAATAGACTGAACTGATGTATCTGGATATGATTGTTTTATTAACATGCATTAATTACACCCAAGTGAATAATCCCATCATTTCATCCAAATATACAGTAGTTACTTTAGAAAAGCAAATGCTATTTCAGTAAGAAAATATAGACAGATTATGGCAAGACAGAGCTGGAACCCACACAAAATGACATTTCTTGTAGTTGACAGAATATGAATAATCTTGCCAAATAAATATTTTCAACGTTTGCTCTATATTTTTGGTGAAATATTGTACAAATTTAGAACAAACGTCATGCAATATCATGTTTGTACATTAATGTTGGGCCAGAGCAGTGAAAGGGCTGTGAAGGCCTGTAGCTATTATTCTGATTATACTAAATAAAAACGTGAAACATTTAGTAAGAATGTCATATTATACTGTTCAAAAATGATATTTGACGTTATTTCGCTCCAAGTTACTTTTTGCGTGTTTTCGCTCCACGCTTCCATAAAAATAATTCTTTTCCACGAATTAAGACGTTTTAAGGAATCTAATTCATAATCGCTTTTTGGGTCGGTCACCATGTCGGATTTCTGCTTACTAAACGTGTGCACGGCATTGGTTCAAAACGGTCATGTGACAGTCGCTTCACTTCTTTCTAATTCCGCTCCAAACAAACTAGTCCCGAATTAAAACAACGATCGTAATAAACAGGGCAACATTGGCCAGGAGAACTTTAACTTCTGAAACCTGTACGACGAGTGTACTATTTTTATGAAGCAAAGAGCAAGTAGCCACAAGACCTCGGAACGAGATGAAACGAAAACGGGGTTCACCTGAAGGCCTAAAATATCCATGAAAATGTTGTTGAAAACTGATAAAATTTTAAAAAAAGTTGAAAAATGTTGGTGGCTTCGTAACATTTTGCCATAAAAATGCATCAGGCGTGGGTCTAGCATCTTTGGAGGACACCATGTTTCCTTCTGGTCGACGACCATCGATGACATCACACTAGATGATTGATTGTACGACTTACGGGAGTTATTTTACCATGTTCAAAAATATCCAGGCAGTACGCAAATTTAACAACAAAATTGCTAAACTCTTCAAAAGCTATGTGATAGAACAGAATCGAAAAAAGAAATGCAATATATTTTGGCCGAGCGTTATGATGACGTCAGTGGCAGGCGCAGGACCCCGACCAGATGCGGTACCTACGCCACCTAAAAACTAGCATCGGCATTCCATTTTCTTGATGGAATTAACCGAAGGACCGTAATGTCTGAAGAGTCACGCTGAGGTCACAATCTTTCTGCTGTGGTGTAAAACTACCCTGAAGTGTTCGTACTGCCCCCTAGTGCTAGGAGACTACACACTGCCTCTTTAATAAAAGGAAACAAACATACTTTTCAGAAGCCTACATTTCTCTTTAAAATGTCTCTTTTATTGATCTAAATTCTAATTTTGAGACACTGAATTGTGAGTTTTCGTTATCTGTAAGTTGTAATCATCACAGTTACAAGAAATGAAGGTTTGAGGTGTTTCACTTTGTGTCTAATGAATCTAATGAGGGACAAAGAACATTTTTTCCCAATATTCTCTCATTTTTTGTACTTGTTTTCAGCTGTGTAAACACGAGTATAAAAACGTCGCTTTGATGCTCGTCTCTAACAGTCGACACCACCTGGAGAGACAACCCATACAGAAAATGAATTTATTTGTAATACGGCAGGATCTCGTCTTACACCACACACAGATGTCTGCACGCATTCAGCATCGAAACATGATCATCACTTGTTTTATAAATCTACTAGTGTAACTATAACGGTACAGAATGAATCATTAGGAATATTTTTTTCACACTGATTATCATTGTTTTACAGACACGACCTTTAAACCCCTAAGAGGAGAAAACTACCACCGAATATCAATCCAGTTACACCAGAAGAACTAAGGATACTCTGTGACTACAGTTCAGACATGTTGGTGCAAAACCTGCCTTTTCTGGCAGAGAGAGAAAAAACATCTGCAAATATTTTCTTTATAGATAAATATATGTGATTAAAATTCAAACAAACCAGCTGAGAGGAGATCATGGCTAGATATAAGGCCACATAAACCAAACAAACGAAGACCTACACACACAGTAAATGCTGGATATGATACTGGTAGGTTGGTAGAGTGGACGTGCAGCTTGTGATACTGTTGCTTGTGTAAGAGTAGAGGTACCCACGGATGGCACGAGGAGGGAACGATTTATTCAGATCAGAGCTTGTGGATTCTGCTGGTTTCAGCCTTGGTGCAGTCGTTCAGCTGAAGTTCGAAAAAAGAGTTGATCTGCTCGTACCCTGCTCTCCTTCACAGAAATACTCGCACAATTCACAAAGATGATGCAAAAAGCGTGTAAAATAAACACAAATACAGCTATTTGAAAGATGCTTCCACAATATCCATGTTCAGTAAACAGTTTTCAGTGACAAAATCAATGCAATTGGTTAAACAGAACAAAGAGAGAAACCTGATCCAGTCAGACAACAAGGGTAACAAGCAGCAGCAGGATTTTAAATACATTAACTTTTATACTGTTGTCACATTTAAGCTGATAATTTGATTATGCTCCTTGTAAGGGACAGTACAGCCACTCTTACGTATGGAGAAGTGTGCATGATGCCAACAGGAAGTCTGCAGGTGGGGCAACCGAGAACATGTTGTGCGCTTTAAATATTTAAAAAGGGCGGCTTCAGGTTGCCACAGCGCAGTAGAAACGCAGCACAGATATCAAAGGATTTCCTAAAACGCGTCAGTGAGACAAGGATTCTTAAGTGTGATGACTAACACCAGGGCTGCTTGCACGAACACAAGAAGGAAGCACGCACGCCGACGTGAATCCAAGCACTAGATCTGATGGTTAAGGTGCTCAGTATTGCTCAAAACAGAGAAGGAAGAGCAACATTTTAGAAGCAGCTCTTGTTTGATTTCATTTGTTCTAAGTCATGGCTCTGTTGCCCTGCAAGAAAGGAAAGACTTCAATAGAAGATAAAAACGATCATAAACGACAGCTGGACTGTTTCTGGGTGAACGATGTGTAGGTAAAAAACATAAAAGACCTATTTGACTGAGTGCTGACTCAGCGGAGTAACACATGAGTCAGCACTTCACCAGGAGTAAATGGTAGGATGGATCCAACAACAAGAAGTGGGCATTAGAAAAAACAAGTGTCTGCTGTGTGTGTGTGTGTGTGTGTGTGTGTGTGTGTGTGTGTGTGTGTGTGTGTGTGTGTGTGTGTGTGTGTGTGTGTGTGTGTGTGTGTGTGTGTGTGTGTGTGTGTGTGTGTGTGTGTGTGTGTATTTATTAAATAACCACTGAAAACTATCTAGAACAAAGCAAATAAAAAAGATAAATCTCCTGACTCTGAATCTTGCTTCGTACCCATCAATCAAAACCAACCTAACACCCTCCATCCTCAGGAACAGGAAAAGTTGGATCGGGTTTGCTGCTGGCTGCTTTTTCCCCAGTCTCACTTCTATTTTTTGTTTTTGAGCTGATTGGCCAGCCAATCAAGGCCCTCGTAGAGGCCGTCGCCACTGGTGGCACAGGTGGCCTGGATGTACCAGTTGCGGTGGCGGAGGGAGTGTAAGCCCAGCTTGTCCGTGATCTCAGCTGCGTTCATGGCGTTTGGTAAATCCTGTGGAAAAGGAGAGAGATCCGTCAAGTGAATGCAGACAGATCCTTTATTTTATGTATGCTCTGTTAACATGTTGAGTATTATTTTAGAAATTCAGTCAATTTTTACAGTTTGGTCTCTTTGTCGTTATCAGACTGAACAGCTACTTTAATAATTACTCTAAATTAAAAATGTATTAAAATGGAAGACATCATAAAGGGACTGAACTGGACCATAAATCACAATGTAATTGAAGATTGCTTTTAAGAGACGCATTTTGATGGGAAACAGTGTCAAACAAATAAACTCAGCCAGATTAGTGTGTGTGTGTGTGTGTGTGTGTGTGTGTGTGTGTGTGTGTGTGTGTGTGTGTGTGTGTGTGTGTGTGTGTGTGTGTGTGTGTGTGTGTGTGTGTTTATAAAAGACATATAGACTTTTTCAAAATAATTGTTATCAATAAATCATTTGAAGGTCCTATTTCAAGTAAAATTCCCATTTTGGAGCTTGTGACCATTTTATATTGCTCGATCTTCACAAAAAACACCCCCAAAGCGGTTTTTAGTTTCAGACATGCATTTTTCTATCTCAGTTGCAAATCCTAGCTGGTGTGTCGAGCAGGCTGCATTCATTTGGATGGAGTGGTTGCTGCGTCATCGCGGCCTACTCCTTCCCAGTCTCCTGTCCGTATCCTTCCTCCCCTGGACTGTAAACATGCTTGGTCTCTCCGTGCAGCTAGCAAGGAGTTTAATCTCCACAGTTGTGAAGACGTGATTTCTTTCTTTTCTAGTCTGCCTAGGACCCAAAAATTGATTTTTGTCTGCAAGAACAGGATCAGTGACCAGTCTTCCTGAAGAATCGGCAGAAATTGTTGGATTTTATCTTCAGGAGCTCTCAAAAACAGAGCCAGAATGTGACCATGATTTCACAGACTGCTTGTTAAACCACCACCAGTACCGGAGCGGGTTTTCAGACGGATGACTTACTCAAACCGGCACAAGTCCAGCGTTAAAACCACCCAATGGAGAGCCGGGGTGGTGAGCACAACCAAATGCTAACTGCTAGCTGACTGGAGCAATGATTCAGGCTGGGAATCTGCTACCATCTCAGCCCGGGGGTGATGTAGTAAGTGGGACATGACAGTACATCTGCAGCAAGGGTGAATCTGCAATCTCCAGGTCTGCAGCTGTGTACTATGGTGAAACTCGCATGTGTGTGTGTGTGTGTGTGTTGGGGGGGGGGGTCCATAATATCCAAGCGTCTTATTTCTGGGTTAAAGGAATGAGTCACGAAAATAACTTATACTTTATAAAACATGATATCTCAATAGTGCCTGGTATTATATGACATATTGTGCTAATTTTTGCTCTGGAAGGTGTAGAATAGCACGATACATGTCCTTAACTTAGTACAAATTTATTAATCCAGCTCAGTACTTGCCACAGAATAATTAAAGTATCTGGAATGTTGTAACTTAATGAATCTGTATTAGTCAAACATTTGAGCGGCTGACCTTTGGTACTTTGTTCTGTTTAAAAGACATTTAGGTGTTTAGTTAGGAGAATAACTTTTGGTTTCTTTTTAAATCCAATTTCTACCTTTTTTTTTAGATTTAGCTTTTATTCTACAAGTTAAAACTTTATTTGACTTGATAATGTAAGCAAAACCAACATCTTTAAACACAAGCTAGACAAAAATAGAAACAGGAGTTTATCTTCCCCATTAGGACCAGGTACTGTGTTAAGTGGAGGCTTGCCTGTTTGTTAGCAAACACAAGAAGCACCGCGTCTCTCAGCTCATCCTCAGCTAGCATCCTCATCAGCTCCTCTCGAGCTTCGTTCACTCGTTCTCTGTCATTACTGTCCACCACAAAGATTAGACCTTAAAGCAGGAAAAAAAACGACAAGTGGACGTTAAAACATTTTCCAAAGAAGAGAGGAGTTTATGGTGTCGGATTATCTCTGCTCACCCTGCGTGTTTTGAAAGTAGTGCCTCCAGAGGGGTCGGATCTTATCCTGTCCGCCCACATCCCACACGGTGAAGCTGATGTTCTTGTACTCCACCGTCTCCACATTGAATCCTGAGAGGAGGAAAGATGTTACACAACGCGCAACATCGTGAACATTGAGATTAATGAGCATGAGTGTGAAACTCGAAAGGACGCACCGATGGTAGGGATCGTGGTGACTATCTCTCCAAGTTTAAGCTTATAAAGGATTGTTGTTTTCCCTGCGGCGTCGAGCCCCACCATCAAAATCCTCATCTCCTTTTTTCCTATCAGGCTCTTCAGTAAATTCCCAAAAATGTTCCCCATGATTCAGGTGAGCTTCTCAACCTTGAGTCTTGCTGCTTCAGTCACGGCGCTGCAGGTTTTAGGAGAATCTCCTGCAGGGACTGAATATTAAGGAGGGCTGAAAGGACAGAACAGAAAAAAATACTTTTAAGTTATACTTTAATGTGAATCGCTACTTTGGGAGTAAAACATTGAGTCACAACGACCCTTCTCACATCTGCTCTTATAAAATTGAAGCATCCACTATCTCCATCACAGAGGGTGATGGAAATCTGTGCCATGACTCCAGGCAACAATGCAATCTGTTCAGACACTTTTCATTATCTTTTCTCCTTGAAACTGCAACAAAGCCAAACCCTTGCAGCACATGCAACATGTCCCACATTACCAGGTCTGGCTGTACTCCCTAGAGCTCACCATAACACTACATTTCCCTTTTGGAGCATAAGGAGCTTCTCATTAGAATGATTTTAACACCGATTTATGATCAGCACAAATGCATGTGCATCATCTACAAGAGAATAAAAACAGGGGAAAATATAAACACTGAAAGAGCAAAGACCTTCAGTAAATGTTCCGTTTTAATCTGGATTATCCAGATGATGAAATGTACAAACTGTAAACTTGAATCATCATGCAAACCTGTTATTTTCTGTTTAGAAAAAGATTATGATGTGTGTCATTTCTATGTAGTGACTGAAAGCGACAAGAGCCCGAGTAGAGTGGGATGATGCAGCAGAAACGCTCTCCGTGGACCTGTCCATGGTGCTGGGTGGACGTAAACACACCACAGCCATCCTTTGTTTTGACCCCTGGTTTGGTGCGATCAGGGCCTGGTGGTGTTCACCCAGCTCCGGTGTCTCCGCTTTAGCCTAGGATGCTACGTTAGGTAACGTTACAGCCTGTCCTTCATACGATCAGCTCACTTCACACGTCTCCACCCTAGCATCATTTCATTTCAGCACACGTGAAAACTGATCTCCTTTCAGTTCCTGATAAACTATTCAGATTTATCGGTAGAAATCTGTATTTTATCAGCGTGAACAACTGGATGCGACGGTTGTTAGCGTGTGAACCGTTCTGGTGATCACCCACATCCCCGCGCCGCTCATCACCTCAGCGGGTGAACCTGCTACCACAGAGCCGTTCCAAGCCGCTTCAACCCGGCTAACACCGAGCCCACGCGGCTACTACGGAGCACACACAAACGTTTAGTACCATTACTCCGGTGTGTGCCGGGATACGAACCGTGCTGACGGTACGGTCGGTGTCCTCGCTTACCTTAGCCGAGACGAGCCGAGCCAGTCCACTTCTTTAATGTCTCACGAGATTTTCCGCAGGAGCTCTCAACAGCAAATGAAATCTCGCGATAGTGAAAGCAAACTTGTACCTGTACTGTGAAAATGAACTTTTTAAAAATTGAAGTTTAGCTGACCTGTAGTCCATTTTCTTTTACATTTTCACCCCAAAGCATGGCCTACTAGTTTTTGATAATTAATATGATTTTTTTCCAAATCTAAAATGCAAAGAAATAACATGAAAATTGCAGAGTTGTTAGGTCCTATACTGCCCAAAAATACTACTCATCTCATAAAAGATTCACATATATCATAGATTTAAATTCACGGATTAATGATTTAGCTCAGTTTAGTTAGGCGGATTACATCTGTTGTTCCTCTGGAGCAGATTTTTTATCATTCAGGTCCTGAATAATTTAAAAGAGGATCTGTGTAGGCTTGGTTTTTGGTGATGGTTTGTTAAAAGGAGCATAATATTTAATAGCAGGTTTTCTCTATTTTAAATGGGAGGCATTGCATTGTTGAACTCTAAACAGCAGCATTTTAAAAAATGCATGTTAGCTCACCCTTCAAATACAACCACCAGCCGCCACTGATACAGGAAATGATGAAGTGGTTTCCAGAACTGAAACGCACTTGTGCAATACTTTATTTGCAGGAGTGAAACAAAGTAAAAATATCTGCTGCATGCAAGCGGTGTCACAACATAGTGCTGTAAAACACAATTAAGTCAAAGTGGGTTGTGTGTTTAGCACCAAACATCTGTTAAGGCACGTGCTGCGTGTGGCAACAAAGACATGCGAAATTAGTAAACAAGTGATTAATGTAATGATATGGTCTGATGGAGAAGGAAATTAGATGAGTCATCAGTTTCTCTCATATCAGCTCTTAGTGTCATGGTCTGCGTCTGTGTCTCCCCTCATGTGTCTCCTTGTGTTCTCCATCCCTCTCTAGGTTCTCCTTTCGTGTCTCCTAGTGTCCTTGTCTGCGTCTTCCTCATGTGTCTCTTTGTGTTCCTCATTTATCCCCAGATCTGCAGCCCTCTAGGTTTCCCTCGCCAGGTATCCCCCTCCCAGGTCCTGTGCTCCCATGGTCCCCCTTAGTCACGCCCCTGTAGGTTTTCTTTCTGTAGTGTTTTTCCTTTAGTTTCAGCTGTTCATTTATCAGTCTCTTTTAGTGTGTTTCCTTTTCCCCCACCGGTTCTTTAGTTCTCCTTCCTCAGATTATTAGTTAGTTATTTTGCTCTTCCTGTTTTTAGGTTTTGTCTTTAATGTTAGGTCATGTTATTTTTCTTCCTCTTCAACTCACTGCCCTCTCCCTGGTTAGTAATTGAGTTCACCTGATTTCTCTCCACACACCTGCAGCTCATCTCCCTCTCATCCTCCCCAGCGTATAAAACCCTGTCTGTGTCTCAATCTTTCGTCGGTTCATTGTTCTTGTAAGTCTTGTCTCGTGCCTCTCTCTAGCTTCTAGTGTTTCTAGGTCTATAGTGTTTTGACTTCTCGCTTTAGATATTAGGATTTTTGGTTTTTGGTTCCTGCCTTCTTGGATTACTCGTAAATAAAGGATTTTTATTTTCATCATCCACCTCCTGCCTCGTTCATCTGGTTTTCTGCATCTTGGGTCCTGAACTTCCTCCTACACCAACTCATGACACTTATAAGTGCTAAAGTCTGCTTAATCAGACACACACTGATTAAAGGACATATTTTTTTCTATATAAATTCACCCACCTTGTTATTCGTTCAGACACACAATGCAATAAAATCAAGTATAAGGAGATTTTTTTATGTTCTTTAGACTGTTAGTGAAGCAGTGGCACACTTATAAATGAGGTATTGATGATTGTGGTTTCTGAGTGTTAAAAATTGTGCATCAAATTTTAAGATGTGCTTTTTCTTTTAACTGTATGCTTTATTTTTAAACCTAGAGCCAGATTATGACACTTCTCTTTTTCTCTCCCATCTTTTCAGCAACACTCAAACAAAATTAAACCACTTATTGTAAAAATTTTTGTAAATTTGTTTTCACTCAATTTATTCTTGGCTCTAAACCAATTAATAAAGACCTGTGTAAGTGCTTAATGGGGGAGAGAATGGTTGCACTGGTCTGTGAGACATTCAGGTTTAACCATCTCTTTGTTACAGAAAAAAGGAAATGTAACCCTCTTGTGCTTTGATTTAACAGAGTTAGCCGAAAAAGTTTAAACTTTGGAAAGATTTCTGCTCAGCTTTGGTAACCGTTGTGAGGCTCAAGCGGTGTTTTCTAAATGGTTTACCAAGGACAAAGTTTAGTTCAAATTGTCGCCACTGGAGGGCGTCAATTCCCCTTCCAGTTCATTTCAAACTAATAAAAACCCAGCTGGGTTTAACACTTTGACAGGACACAGTCATCATGTTTAACTGTTGCACAAATAAGGTTTTAATTGTATTTTTTATTCTATTCAATTTGGTTTATTTATATAGCGCCAAATTATGACAAGAGTCGTCTCAAGGCACTTCACATGGTAAACATTCCAATACAGTTCAGTTCATTAAGCCAATCAGAAAAAAATGTCCTATATAAGGAACACAGCAAATTGCATTGAGTGACTGACTGGTATCAGAGTCCTAACAGCAATCCTCTTACTAATCAAGCATGTAACGACAGTGGAGAGGAAAACTCCCTTTTAACAGGAAGAACCCTAGATCTTGGCTCAGTATAAGCAGCCATCCGCCAGGACTCACTGGGGATAGCGAAGACAGAGCACACACACACACACACACACACACACACACACACACACACACACACACACACACCAATATCAAAATAAAAACAGAAAAAGACTGTTAAATCATCTTCCCCTGTTGCTGACTCTTTTTATTTTCATTTTGAGATAATTTATGGGCAAACAAGCGCTGCTTACTCTCCACACGCACTGCAGCCAGACTGTCAGTAGCGGTTTTAGGCACGGGCAGACAGGGCAGTTGCCCGGGCGGCATTTTTTCATGACACAAAAGGGGCGCACAAGCGCGGAGTAAAAAAAAAAAAAAAAGGAAATCTGCGCCGCACCGAGGTTTTCTATTATCTGTCATATGACAGTGTCTGGATTGGAAACAGCAAGTTGGCGCCCCCTGCAGCTGCAGGCGCTCCGTGCTCCGTGTGTCTATGAAGAACAGGAAGGGGAGGGGTGCGGCGGGGGAATTCACCTCTGCGTCTTTCCCAAATGAAATGAGCGGGTAGGGGCTGAATCAACTGTATTAACATGGCTAAAGTCAATCACATCTTAACGTTCTTCCATATTTCATTCATAATATCATAAACAGAGGCCTATCATTCTTTCAGGTTTCTCTGAATTGTGTGAAATGGCCGAATAAAAAAAGGAAAAACAAAACGATTTTGTGGTCACCCCCCCATCAAGGTCAAATTGTTTAGTCCTGACTAAAGGAAACTTATTGAGTCAAGAGCCAAACAGAAGAGATGAACATAAAAAAGCTAAAACCACCAGGTGCCCCATTCAGGGGGAAAAAAAGAAAAAAGAGGAGAAAGATAAAGGTAAGTAGCTCTCATGATGCATGTTTTCAATTTTTTGAACCAGTTAACTGGAATTTTAACGGTTAAATTTGGTCAACTAATTGCTAACAGAGCTAATAGGGCTGAAATATTGAAACGAATATTCAAATGGTTCGAAAAAAGTCCTTGAATCGTTTTTTACTGATTCAAACTAGGAATTGTTAAATGCTCACTGCAGCCCGTGGCCTGCCTGAACAACAACAAACACATGTTGATCATGTTCACATAATAATAAATAAAACAATTCTACAAGCAGAAGAAAACTCCCCAGTCACCACTAACTATCCTGTTTATTTATTGCAGATGGCTGCACTGATTATTTTTTACATGATTTGTTCTGTAAAAGTTGGCATTTTTGGTAGTCTACAGTTTTTTATGTCAGTTTAAATTACAATTTCAGAGGCCATTCTAAAATATTATGGATCATGAGATCTATTGGAGATCTACCCCAACTTTTGGACTGCTCTGCCAGTCACTGTGGCTCAAGCTGAGAGGAGCTTTTCAAAACTTGATCAAGTCATGCCTGAGGTCACCTATGTTTCAGGGGCGGCTCACTAACCTGGCTCTGATTAGTATCAATCACTCAGTAGGGGAGCAGATTTCATATGATGACATTATTGATGACGTTGCATCAAGGTTAGGTTTTAATTTTAGTTTGTGTTTTCTATTCTAAGTGCAGTGCTGTAGTGATTATCTTTAGTTTGTTATGTGTGAAATATTTTTGCTATTTAGAATATTTATTATCTATTATGTTCATATATTCTTAATATTTAGTTATTGTTTGTTTTTGTATAGTTGATTCTATATATTTTGATACAGTACATAATGTATAGTGCTTTACATTCTGACAACTTCATAGTAATTAATGTAAATATGTGCAACTTAGAAAAATGAATGTTCAGTAGTCGTTCTAATAAAACATGCCTGTTTGTAGAAAACATGCGTGTGTTCATGCAGGTGGGGTGGTGGTGGTGGTGGTGGGGGGGGGGGGGGGTTGGGGGGGGCGCTCAAAGGGGGCCTCGCCCGGGGAGTAATTCGATGTAGAACCGCCACTGCAGACTGTAGAAAGACTGTAGCAACCTGGGTGATGCTGGAGCAGGGTTTGAGGCGGGCTCTTCAGGGCGGGGAGGCTCAGGTGCTGGTCCACCGCCCCCTGACCGCTAGTCCTTATCTTCACAGCATTATAACACATCAGCGTTGCCTGATACTTAGCGATTTTGGACGGAGGCAGACGGTGCGCGCTCTCACGTTTCCCAGAGGGTGCAGCTCTTTCCCAGAAGTGGAAAATGAAGACACGCGTTTTTCTCCTCCTACTCGTAGCTTTCTCCTGCGAACTTGCTCGGGCTGAGGAGGAGAATGAAGCAGAGGAGCTGCAGGTGGAGACACTGGTGCGGAGCAACGCCATCATTTTATATAGTAACAACATGAAAATGGACACATGATGACTCCTTCTTTCTGTAGGTGCAGCCTGAATCTTGTGCCATGATTTCCGAAATTGGAGACACACTGAAAATCCACTACACTGTAAGTCACTGAGCTCCAGCTTTGACTTTTATTGTGAGCTGTTGTTGTTGTCGGTGTGTGTGTGTTTGTGTGTGCGTGTGTGTGTGTGTGCGTGTGCGTGCGTGCGTGCGTGTTTTACCACGGAAATTTGGGGCGGTGCAACACGTCAGCATTACTACAGCTCCACGTGTTCCAGCAGCGAACTGCACAATGTTTGTCTATATATGCTTTACTTTAATTTCATATTTGTAAAATCTGAATCTTGATTATTATTTGAGTTTGTAAAAATTAATCAGTCTAACCAAATAAACTATGTCAGCTTCTTAAACAGCTTATATATATATATATATATATATATATATATATATATATATATATATATATATATATATATATAGTGATTCATTTTTATTTTTGGTCCTCTGTACAAAAATACATTCATTTAAGATTATTTAGGCTCCAAATGTAAAATGTCCTTAGTTCTCATTCTCTATTGCTGTACTGAACAGGGTAAACTGATGGATGGAAAGGTGATCGATACATCTCTGTCCCGGGATCCTCATTCTCTTGAACTGGGGGCAAGACAAGTTATTCCTGGTAAATTAACAAGTAATAACAGCATTCTGCAGAGACTTTTATTTGCGTAAAGCTGGGTTGTTATACTTGTCAGGTTTGTAAGTTCTGCTTATTGACTGCCTTCTTTTTCCAGGCCTGGAGCAAAGCTTGGTTGGTGTTTGTGAAGGGTGAGCTCTGTGAAAACATAACTTTGTATTAGACTGACATAGTTACATTAAAAACAAACATTCTATTTTTTCTACAGGCAAAAAATCAAAGCCATCATTCCTTCTCATCTTGCATATGGAAAAAGAGGTTTCCCTCCCACAGTTCCAGGTAGTCAGCGCAAACACAAACTGATAGATTTAAGGCATGTTCTATGTATATTTGTGTGTTCTATATTATGGCTATGTTCATGAAATGAAAAACAATTAAAAACCTTGAATGCTCATAATTAAGATCATAATGTAAAGACTGATTGCGTCCTTTCCTCAGGTGACGCTGCTCTTCAGTTTGAGGTGGAGGTCATAACCTTGTCACGAAAGACACCGTTTGAAAAAATGATCAGGAGCTTGTTACCCACCATGTGTTTGGCTCTGCTACCCGGTCTGCTCTGCTTGATCGGAGTCTACATCTACAAACGGGGCTCGGCTGAGAGGCCAGAGAAGAAGAAGGCCAAAGATAAGAAGAGCAAAAAGAAATGAAAACATGGAAAAGAACATTTTAAATAAACTTCATGAATGGTTGTGTTCTTCATGTCTGTTTATTAATGGAATAAGCTTTTGTATGTTTTCATGTGAGAAAGTGCATTATATAATTCAATAATTTTTATACATTTATAAAGACAATGCAGTTTGGTATCTAGATGATGTTTTACATAATTCTAGTTTGTTTGTCTGACAGACACATTGTAATTTGAAACTCAAATTGACTGCTCTTGCATTTTATTTTTAAATGTCAGATTTTATAGAACAGCTGTGGCAGACGTCTCATACTTCTTAAGGTGTAAATGTGATCTAAACCTGTCAAACTAAGTAAAAGTAATCATTTCAATAAGAATGGGAAATGTCTGTCTCAATTAGTACTTATGTGGTTTAGATGCAACAACATGCCGTAAAAAGCAAAAAACTGAGCTGGTAAATTCCCAAACCTGGGATAGCTGTTCCAACTCAGTCAGCTAGCAGCTAATAACTAATACCAATCAATTACTGTATAATTAATTTGTGAGTCTAAAGCAATGCTTGAAAAGTGTTATCTGGGTTTTTCTATTTAATAGCAATCAGGATTCACCTATTTTAAGTGTAAAGTCAAAACGTGATTTTTAAAACCACTTATGAATGCAATAAATAAATAAAAATAAAATAAAACAGGTGTCTATTCATGGACAATAGACTTGTAGCCAAAGGTAAAAAAAAGTAGTTCCATTAATCCTGTATTTCTTGAAAAAATTGTATTGTACTACCGGTATTTTGTTGTATCACATTCTTTTCAAGCAAATGTAATCATTTGCTATGATAGAAAAATGCATCATTGAACAAAATTGTTTACAGTATTTCGGAGCTAGAGCTTCGTTTTTTAATTAGCGTAATTTTTATGAAAGTGTAAAGCCCAGAGAAAAAGATAAATAATTAATGTTTTAACGTGTTGGTGAAAAGCGACCACAAAGCTGAATTTCAAATAATATATTTTTATTCATTTAGGAATCGTGCAACGCGTTTAGGTTTAATCACGCAACCGGAAGTGCTCTTTTTGTTTTTATATCCCTCCGCGAATGCTTGTTTATTAATTTTAGTGCTTTTAAAGTTCAGTGCATCCTCGTTTTCTGTTCAGACTAACTTAAAGTCGATCTATTCTCATCTAAATACCAAAATAATAAAACAAACGAGAAATAACATATTTTCTTCAAAATAAATGCATTTAGGAACGAAATGTATTCAGAGGGCGGGGTGGATGGGGTTTTTTTGTGCCGGTGCACCCTCTTCCGGTCCTCTTTCTAGCTTCTCGTGCATCATGGTGAGTGAGTTTTAACGACGGCGGCAGTGTAAAAATAACAAAACTTGTTTTTCACTCGATTGCGCTGAAGCTGTTTACACATTTTATACATTATAATCATACAGCGAACTTATATCTTAGAGAATTAAAGTCAAACATAACTTATACAGAATGAAATCTGAATTTGGGCCTAATGCTAATAGCTAGCATGCTAATCATTTTGTACATGTGTTACGTCTGATGGCAAAAGATCCTGTCATTATTTGTCTTGAAACTACATGAACCGAATTGTGCTCACGGCATGTTAATTCTAAGATATTTATCTAGTAGCTTGAGTAGATACATTTTAACTTGTCTTGTGTTGCGGGAACCACCTCATAATGAACTATCACGACTACCAGTGAACCAGAGATTCGTTCACTTCGTAATAATTTTATATAGAGTTAAGAGAGTATACCTTTTGGGTTATAAATTATGTAAGGTGCATTGGATGTCTTTCTCAGTAATGTGTGGACAATAGCATTAGATCTGTATTTCATTTGAGAACGTTTAAATGGTAGTTGTTAGAAGCAGTCTCGTGGCAAACAAGGAAAGACGTTTTATTTTTTCAGTGAAGATTTAGTACATATTTGTCTTATACTAAGATAATTGCTAGTTAAACTATACAGGAAGTGCTGTAAAATAGTGTTGAAACCTTTCAGATATGTAGGTTTTAATTCCCCGATGCTACACTTTGTTTTATGGTCAAGGATTTTATTTACAGATTGAGCAAATTTGGTGCCATTCTAAGGTGCTGGATAATTGTTACAAATATGAAGAGTATTTCAAGATAACACAAGGTGCTCCACTAGTGCAGTAGCACATTCAAAAATTATTTTCAAAGATGATGACAAATAAATTAAGAGTGGGAAATATAAAATGAGGAGGATAAACAATAATAAAAATGTAGAGGTGTTTGTTGCATGTAATCTTGCATCATGGACATAATTTAGCAGCCTTAATTGTTTTACTTAAATATTAATATGGCAACTTTTTGCAGACCAAGAAGAGGAGGAATAACGGTCGTGCCAAGAAAGGCCGCGGGCATGTGCAGCCCATTCGCTGCACCAACTGTGCTCGTTGTGTACCCAAGGACAAGGCCATCAAGAAGTTTGTTATCAGGAACATTGTAGAGGCAGCAGCCGTGAGGGACATCTCAGAGGCCAGCGTCTTTGACTGTAAGCATCTTCTGAACCTTTTCGCTTTAATCCAGCTCCCTTGTTAAGCAACACCAAAGTAACGTTTGGTGTGAATCAACTTGAGTTTTACAAAATTTTAATTATTATATGGGACTAATTAATATAACAAAGCTGTATTATTTTGCCTTGTAAAAAAGTCAGAGCTACAGGTGCTCGCCAGCAGGGACGATTCGCAGATTTTTTTTTATCACTAAGGCTCAAAAGTCCACAACAATTATATTTGTGATATATATATGTATGTATGTATGTATGTATGTATGTATATATATATATATGTATGTATGTATATATATATATATGTATGTATGTATATATATATGTATGTATGTATATATATATGTATGTGTATATATATATATATATATGTATATGTATATATATATGTATATATATGTGTGTATTATGTATTCTCATAAACTTGGATGATTCTGGAGTCTGGTTCTAGTCAGTTTTTTTTATTTATTTTTTTTTACTTTTTCAGCATATGTTCTGCCCAAGCTCTACGTGAAGCTGCACTACTGTGTCAGCTGTGCTATCCACAGCAAGGTAGTGAGGAATCGCTCCTGTGAGGCCAGGAAGGATCGCACCCCACCACCAAGATTCAGGCCTACTGTGAGTATCATACACAATTTGTTGTAAAAATAACTGGCTAATGTGGAAATTTACAGATAAATATTTTGGAAAATTGTTCAAACACAAACTCCTGAAACCAAGTAAAAAAAAAAAAAAAGACACCGTCATTGATTCACTCATTTATCTGAACTTTCTTTTTCTTTTCAGGCTGGTGCACCAAGAGCTCCTCCAAAACCCATGTAAAGCAGAATCTGAACATGCCGTACATCTAACAAAGAAAATAAACAATCTTTACAACAACTTTAATGTATGAAGCTCTTCAATCTTTTGTGATTAAAGGAAAGAAGTTTAGTCAAGTATTTTATTTTATTGGCGTAGACTTGCAGTACAGAACTTAAAGTAGTTTTATTGGTCATTTATTAAAATGTGTAATATCATACATTTAAAAATGGCTTTTGTCATTCAAGGCAACAAAAAGGATATTTAAGCTGACAAAACTAGAAAGCAACTGACCGTCACAAAGCCTGGATGTTTTTAAGTATAATCTTGGAACGGGTGGACCTAGTAGTAGTTTTGAGATGAAAACAACCAGATGTTGGTTCAGGAGCAAATGGCTTTGGTACAACACGTATCACCTTCAGAAGCACATCACCATCCAGTGGTCAGGGGAATATGTTTGTGGGCAAATAGTGCTGGAGAAACTGGACTGAAAAGTTTATGGACTTTTCAACAAAACACTATAAAGTTTATTTTGTCAAATCTTTGCATTTTATTGGTAACCATGACCATTTTTGACAGTCAGGTGAAAACTGGTTTAGGCTGTTCTAATTATGGTGTGGTGGCAAAATGTTAGCAATCTGCTTTTAAACCATTCAGTTTTTTGGGGCCGCTGATTAAAGCCGGGGTTTTCAGTTCCACTAAAACGTGTTTGATGCCACCCCTCCAGGACCGGAGTTGAATACTCCAGGACAGTTGAAGTATTTTTCCTGTTAACTGATCTATATTGTCAGGTTAAATACGTAATACCTCAAACACCAAGTTTGTCTTTTTTAGGAGTAATGATAAACTTTGTTGGAAGTCTCACATAGATCATGTGAAACGGAAATTATTTAAGTATTTCTATTCTTTATAAAACTTATTGCACAAGAGCAGCCTTTATTTACTGTACACTTCCCTTTGCTTGCCTTATGCGAGTTATTGTGTGGAAATTTGGGGGAAAACATAAAACATATCTGGATTCAATTTTTAAATTGCAAAAAAGAGCTATTAGAATAATAAATAAAATGGATATAGGGAGTCCACAAACCAATTTTTGTAGGACCAGCTATGTTAAAATTTAAGGACATTATATATCTTAAAACTTTAGAAATGATGTATAGAATGGTGAAAAAGAATGTTCCAATTTGTATTTTAAGTATGTTTAAATTAAGAGACGGAAAATATGATTTGAGGGGGTCTTTTATTTTTGAAATACCTAAAGTGAGAACTAATGCTAAGTATAGATGTGTGTCGGTTTTGGGAGTGAAGTTATGGAATGGACTTAATGATGAACTGAAGATGTGTTATTCTTTATAATTTTTCAAGAAAAATGTGCATCTTCCAAAGTTATAGAAACTTAGTTTGATGTCTAACCTTGTGTTGATTTGATTTCTTGATTTATCATTGCTTTTTCTTTAAATGTTATGCCCTACTTTTTTTTTCTCTTGGTTAAGGATTTGATTATCTCTGTGGGAGTTAAGGAAAGGCTAATTATAAGCCACTAGGCTTCAACCTATTCCTTTTTTCGGTTGCTTGATTACTTTTATTTAAAATTGATAAATTGTTGTTGTTGACCAAATAAAATATCTATCCATCTTTAGACTGTAGGACTTATGCGCTTACACTTAAAACTACCCATCCCATTTAACAGTCACGTTTCAATTAAAGCAGCTTGTGAGAAAATTTAATCTTCCAATTAAGATCGTGTTACTTGAGAACTTGTATAACTACATTACGGCTTCTGTAAAAATTACCATAATTCTTGCAAAATCAACATTGAGATTACATTTTTAGCTAATCTTGCAGAAAAGCTTACGTCGCATTTTCAAAAAACAAAATGAATACTAAGAATCTGACATCCAAAGTGCTTTAATAACAGTATTAAAACGTTTTAATGAAGCAACATTTAACAAAATCAAATATTTTCTATACAAAGATTTTTATATACATATAGAGATTTTCATTCTGCCGACATACCGGTGAAAGTGCGTAACAGTTACAGACATGGATCTTTGGCTCAGATGCGAGGATGTTCTTTGTTGATGTACTGAACCAAACAAATGCCAATTTCAATACTTTTCATCTACTATATTAATATTTTGGAACTCCTGCGTGGAAAAGCTGTAATTTGGTAGACAAAATAGGAACGTTAACAACCATCTACATTTATCTAGAGCCTTGAATTACAAAGATGATAGGAACACATTCTCTTATTCACCAAAGGTTTAGGGAAACAAAAAACAAAAGGCTTAAAGCAGATATTTTCCCCGATTTACAGAAAACATTTGATGACTGCCACAAAAATTAAAGTGTGCAGCCTTGATATTTGCTACTATTAATAACCGATACATAATGTAAAACAAATGTCACATTCATCAAACTGCTTTGTGTGGAGAAAAAGAGACTATTTAAACTAGAGCGCTCAGACGTTAAATAATAAAAATAAACGTTAGACTAGAACCAAAATATGACAAACAAAAACATTCGGCTGAATTGAACAAAACAAAAAAAAGCCATGAAACATTAATAATATCAGTGACTGAACAGTCTGGACAGGGAAAACTTCATGAACTTTAAAACTTAGAACAGAAATTGCACTCCACTGGTAACGAGCTACTATAAAACTACAAGCCAAGGAATCACCCCCAAAACACACACACACACACACAAATCAATTTAAGACATGAAGGTTAGCAGCTCCTGTCTGGGAAATAAGGGGAAGAAAGGCACAATACAATGACAAAACATAGTTTTAAATATAGGATAAATAAATTTCTTACATATTAAGAGTTGGGTTGTAATTCCACGTATTCATGAAAAAGGAAACTACAGATAATCTCTTTATATAATCTCCTCAGACTCTGGCAGTGATTTCCTTCAGAGCAGAACAACCCACCAGGTCCTGTCCTCACGCTGTTCGAGACATGCAGGTCGTTAATGTCATCTAGAAAATAGTTTCAGATATTCACAGAATCCTGGATGGTATCAGTGCAACAAAAGCTGTCATACAAGACCCACACTATCCAACATGGCATCAACACAAACAAGGGCCTTCATCTTTCCAATTTACAGAAAAAGGGGGTCCCTCAGGTCCTCTAACACACACACACACACACAGATTCTTCATTTCACCTCTTTTCTAAACCAAAGTGCATTTCTAAATAGTAGACCCCCCCCCCCCCCCACTCACTCACTCACACACCTGTTCAAACATTTAAGTAACATGGACCTGGTTTTGAGTTTGATCTGCACTTTTTAGCTTTCGTATTTTAAATTAAACATTTATATGTTAATACTCTGAATATTGGCGCAAGGCACATCTGTAGGTGAAGATATTCTTTTACCTTTTAAATGCCCAAAAGCATTTGTTATTAAAATGTCACAAGAAATAAAGGAACATTCAGCATCAGTGTCCCTCTGTGCAGAACAAACCCAGCCAGGTCCTTGTTGGAGTTCAACAAGCTCTAAGTGACATCAGCTGTCCAGCTTTTCGCCTCAGTCAACGATGTGCTCTCCGCGGACGATGTGTGAAGAAAATTCATATCGGTCCTGACTGCGATGGCCACAGATGTTACACTCAAAGGGTTGACGGAAACCATGGCAACCCATGTGGATGGTAAACATGACATGATCCAGAAAAAGCACACGGCAGTGGTCGCAACGGAAGGAACGCACAGCTCGCCCCTCCCCATCCACAACCCGGAGGGATTCTCTGGAAGTGGAGGAGGGTGCTGTAGGTGAGCTGGAGGTCGGAGCAAGAGCAGGAGGTAGGAGGGCCACGTGTCCTCCATCTTCTCTGTACACTTCGTGTTCTTTGGCATGGCTGGGACTGCGTCTGTCCCGGCTTCTGTGGTGGAAATGAGGGGCAGGTCTGATGACGTGGTTGTTGGAGTGAATGAGGTGTTGTTGCCCATTGTTACTGTGCAAAGTGGCAACCGGAGCTGTGCTATTACATGGCTCATCTAGCATGCTTTCTGTGTCTGTGGAGTCCTGAAACCCATTGCTAGGGGAAGGTGCATGACTTTGACCCACGGCTAGGTCTTCGTGACCCTCAGCAGCTTCCCTTCCCCCTACACCTACAACCCCCAGCCTGGCCCCGGTTCCCAAACAATCCAACCTTGGGCCTAGAGCAACAGGAGTGTGAGTGGAGCAGTGGATCGGTTTGAGATCTGTCAAACAAGAATGGTGAGTGCTGCGAAGGTGTAGAGGCATAAGTTTGTCTGATACCCCACTTTTATTACCTGCCACAGCTGCTGTGTATTCTCCTCCAAGGCCAGTAAAGTGTGGAGCTTCAAGGTCCCCTGCCTGCATGTCCTCACCTTTATCCAAATCAGAAGTCAGGTCGTATGATTCATCTGCAAGGTTGAGTCGGATGTGCTTCTGCCCTGCAACACAGACATAAACAATCTTATGATGCCGTAGAAAGAAGATCAATAAACATTAAAAAAAATACAAAAACCAGATTGTAAACTTACAATCGGCCAATGTAGCTAAACAGTCACATTTTACCTCTTACTTATCGGTGTGAAAAAGTAGAGCAACACATTATCGTTCCTAACAGTAAGACTAAATGCTCACCTATGAATTTTTGTGGAGTGGCTCTTTTTCGTTTGGTGATGCTGTTGGCGAGCCGATCAATAAATGCAATCCTGTCTGAGGAGGGTTGCAGAAGAGAGTCTGGTACAAACTCTAGTTCTCTCATTTCCTCTCCTGGACAGAGTACAAACAAACTGTTACGCTTTTTTTCCCTTTAAGGGTTCTCTTACAACTCCCGCAAAATTTCTAAACTCATCCAAACCACGTTTTGGAACCACAGGTTACCGTTAGAGGAGGATCTGAGCGTTACCTTGTTAAGAATGTAGACTGCATTTCTAACTTTGATGCTAATAGCTTTTTTTCCTCTTTTGAATAGTAAAGTGTCCCAATTTGGTTTAATTTTATTAAAAAAAAAAAAAGATTATTGTATACCTAGATTTTGAGCATTGTTCATTGGTTGTGATTCCAGACTCTTTAGGTATCCATGACAACGTTCACGATGCTCCTCCAGGGTGCTCTGTTGCTTGTAACAACGGCCGCAATAACTGCATTTAAATGGCTTCCCTATAGTTGGAGAAGACACTGTAGACAAAGAAGGAAGAAACTATTATAATTGTAGATCACACTGAAGGAAAATCCAAATCCTCATCAGGTTCCAATTTGTCTTACCTGCATGAGTGCGTAGATGACCAGTAAGGGCATCTCGTCTTCGACAGGCATAGCTGCAAAAGGGACATTTGAAAGGCTTCTCCCCTGAGTGCAGCTTGATGTGGCGGAGCAGGTTACCCTTTTGGGTGAAAGAGGCGCCACACTGATTGCACTGAAATGGTCTTTCTCCTGTGGATAGGTCAAATTGTTCAAGCAAACTTTGCAGTAAATAATGAGTATCATCAATTACAGATGGGATATTTTAAAGGCTCCTCCTCAGAGTGCAGTTTGATGTGATCAATTTTGATTTTTTTTTTTAAATGAAAATCAAAGATGTGTCTGTTCCCTTAAATTATTCACCTGTATGACTGCGTTTGTGCACCATGAGAACATTAGGTCCAATGCAGATCATTCCACAAATGTCACACTTTAGCTTTCCATTTGGCAGTCTGGTAGCTGCAGATGGCATTGCTTCAGAATTGGTCAACTCCCTGTAGGCTCCATCAGATTCTGATCCCTGCTCTGGACCTTCATCTTCTACCCTCTCTGTTCTTTCATCGTCATGAACACGGCCCAAGTCTTCATCGCTGTACAACTCCACTTTAACGGAGTTGGCTGTAAAGAACATATTGATGTGTAAGGTTTGATTTAAATAAAATTAACAAAACCAAATGCATTAACATTTAATACTGTCATTTTAGTGTGACTTTTAAGCCAAGAGACAAACTATAGGGTCCATCTAAAAATGCTTCTCACCACTGAGGGAGCGTCTTGGAGAGTTCTCCTTACTATTTGGGGTGCTCACTGTCACACCACCAAGGGCTCCTGAAAACTCTCTTTCCAGCGACGATTCCCCACTACCTGAAACCACAAAGGTGACAAGAAGCAGAATCTCACATTTGAACCAGTCAACCTTACAAATGTGTTAATCTGCTATTGAATACACCTTTACCTGACATGAAGGATCGGCCATTACAGTCGCCATCCATGCTAGTTCAAGATTAATCCTGAAAGAACATTTACATCAACTGCTGGAATTGAAGATAATTACATCCAAGTTCTCCATTTATCAAAAAAAAAAAAAAAACATGGGAGACTTGCAGGTAGGTGAGATTTCACGTGAAAAATGATAAACGTGGATGACTGTAGGTTAAATAATTAAATACAATTTAAAGTAAATTTTAATTAGACACTTTCAATTGTCAAAATAAAAGCCTGGAACAATGCCGTACTATTCAATTACCAGCAAAACATTTAAATTGGTACTAGCAAAGAATGCTCGTACATTTTGAACAAAACCTCGTAACGTTAGCTCCCAATGCTAACTACTATGCGCCGTAGATTAGTTTAAGTAGGTTAATTAATTACATCAGCAATTAGATCAGTAGCAGCTAAGTTAGGCAAGACTCCGTCACTGATTTGCAATATTAGCAATCCGTTTAATAACATCACAAAATTGACTTAAAGTTCTGCTAATTTAGTACGATACCGTTTGAAACACACATTAAGATAATGCTGACATCGTTTACATATCGGTGGCGATTGGCTTAACTTCAGTCTACGGCCTTGGTGGCTAACGTTAGCTTACTGACCATGTAATGAAAATTAACAAGTTAGCTAAACTCTGTACCACAACAATACAACAGTCTGGTATCATCGACGACTTGATATGAACGCAGAAACTAATTTGCGACAAAGTAATATGAGCAACGGCGCAAGGAGATGGTATTGGCTTGTGACATTAAGTAGCTGTGTATCGTTAAACTATATATTCAAGTCTAATCGACGTCATGGTTCAAGCTAACATAACAGTTAGCCTAATGTTTCTGTAGCGGTTGCTATGGCAGCCAACGCTACCCCAAACGCTAAGGCTAGTCAGCTACTGCTTAACCTGCTAAAACACGTCAGAGACAGACAACAATACCGAATCCTTCTAATAGCGTTGGGTTTTCCAGTACCTAATGCATCACCTTCCCTTTCCAAGTCAGTTTTATCGACGTTAATCTGAATTTTCATCTGCCCATTTGTAACAGCAACAGCCCCCGGAAGTTTTAGCTTTTATTTTCCGGTCTGGCCCGGAAATAAAGCACATGAGCTGATTTTATATTTATTTCAACATCATTACAAGGACCATAGCAAGTTAGAATACATATTTGACATAAGTACACATTTCTTTGACAGATTTATGTAATTAATACATATAAGAAAAAAGACAAAAGAAAAACAAAAAAGAAGAAAGGGGGTATTTAAAAGATTCCTTTCGAAATAAAGGCATCAACATAACTTAGAGTTCTTATAGCTTTCGGACAAGTCATACCTTTTAAAGTGTCAAAATAGATTCTTAACTCAGTCCTAAATATGTTGACATTGGGGTTTGTGTTGGACCACTTAGATTTATGAATATAAAATTTCCCAAACAAAATTATCTGATTAAAAATGAAGCATATGATTTAAAAAGATCTTTTTTATTTGTGGCCAAAGGAAAATTATATCTCGTAAATGTAATTTAATATTCTTCTCAAGACATAGTGAAATTAAACGTTCTGTCTCATACCAAAAATTGTTAACAAATACACATTCATAGAACAGGTGTGGAATTGTCTCAAAAGCTGAATTACAAAATGTACACGAGTCATCTAACTCTTTCCTATATTTTTAAATAAAATATTTTGTAGGATATATTCGATTAATTATTTTGAAATGAACTTCCTTAATTTTGTTGATGACCATATGTTTATGAGCAATAGTCCAATATTACACTTATAATTATTTGTTGTATTTTCCCAATATAGAACTGACATTTAGGAATTGTTTGTGAATGAACTAATTATCTGAAAAATGTATTATTACATTCTTTGTCCAGACAATGGATTCCATTAGTTAGAAGATGTTTTTTTGGTGAAAGCACATCAGCTGATGAAAGTGGATTTGTTCACTAACAACTAAAAGTGAGGGGATAATATCTTTAAATTCTATTAAGAACACAGGTTTAAAACATATTATTGTTATTTATCTTTATTATGTGGTGTCAGGATTTATTATAACAAAAAAAGTTATAGGCTCCAAATACCAGCTAAATCCCCATATTATTTTACATGTATTTAGTCAACAGAATGCAAATTAAAAGTCTTTCAAATCAAATAACCAATGTTGACAAATGTTGCAAAGAACCAATTTAATTCATAAAGTTCACAAGTTTGTTTGTAGAATAATGTTACAAAGACCTGTTTAACAGACATTAAACAGAAATTAAATTGCATTTTTGTTTCAACATGGCATTTTAAAAAAGCCATTTGCTGAACACTTACTACTGCACGACTTTAAAGTTTTTGATCAGTTCTCCCTTCTATTTCTTCAAAAAATGTTTAAAGTTTCAAGTTGGCTGTTTTATTTTCCTTATATTGCAGGCTCACAATAACTGGTCGTGTCCAGGCATAAGAACTGTACAAAAATTGATTTAAAAAACAGTTGAAGTCCAAAGTTAAACTTAGAAAGATCTTTTAAATAATAAGAACTTATATTTGAGGCATCACTGGATGTTGGAAGAAATTATAAATACATTTGGGAATGTATAAATCGTTTGCACAGTATTGATATATTTTAATACTCTGTTGATTTTGCTCCGTACAAAAAAAAGATAATAAAAAGATTGAACCCCTCCAGTAAATCACAAGTCTCTGTTTGTAAATATGGAAAAAAAAAACTTGAAGGGAAGTCTGGTTTATAGGGCGAATTTGGGTTTTACTTGTTGACATAAACTTAAAATAGTATGAACTGAGTGAGGTCAGACTAGAAAAGTCTATAAGGGCAGGTTGTCAGGGACATGTTGGGACCAGAGGCTAGAACGTACAAAGAGTGACCTCTGCTGTAAAAATATGAATGCACGTTCATGTCACTTCTCTGACGTGTTAGCTCGTTTTACGACGGTGTGCTTACACAATGGCAATTTCCGTCACTTTGACTTGCAGCTCGCGACCGCGTTGAACTACCTTTTTTGTTACCAGTTTTTGTTCAAAACGACATTTATCTCCTTTAAAAACAGTTACAGACATCGACACACACACCAGACACAAAACGAGAGTAGTTTTTAGGACAGGCGCAGCGTTTATTCGCCGTAATAGAATCCTGAAAGTCCAGCGCGAGGCCCAGCGGAGAGCTCCAAAAAGTTTGTTGTTGTCACGTGACGCGAGACGAATGTGGCGATAAAAGTTTGTTTAGGTTGTAAAACTAGCTGGCGTACTAAATTTTCCAGAACATTTTGAATACTGTTTTCACCGCAATGCCTCAGCCAAAATACCGAAAGATCGCCGTTATAGGTTACCGGTCCGTAGGTGAGTACAACATTGCTAATCAGCTAACATGCTAATATCCTGGCTTTGTTTTCCTGTCGAGATAATCGGACTATCCTCACTAAATTATGTCCCATCTATGTCCGTTTGTTGTTGTGTTTTCTTCTGCGAACATTCTCATTAAACACATTTTAATCAACGTTTATTAAACCGTCTGTTTGCAGCCATATGTTACTTGAAATCGTGTTAAAATAAAAGTTAGCTCAGTATCCGGGTAACTCGTCTTCTCTTGGAGCCGTTTTGTCGCAAAGATCACTCTTGCATCTCCACCATAACTTGTTTACAATCTATAAAAACAAAGTCAACCCGGAGTTCCCCGCTTGACCTGTTGCCACACTTGTTTGTTTGTCCTCGTATGCCCGGAGTTGCACCATTCAGCTCGGAAAATACGTGTTTGCTAAGTTAAATGCATTGTGTTTCTAAGAAACACGCTGTATACAGCACATTCATCAATATTTATAGTCATAACGTTTGATAATAGTTACAATTTTCCAAATTCTTACAAAGCCAGCATGTGTTTAATGTAAAATATTGAGGGGAAATCATCCATATTATCACTATTTTATTGCGTTAATTTAGTCTGATACATTTTTACCAAATTCCCTGTATTAGATTGGAACAAAACCTTCAGGTAGACTTGATTTAAAGTTAATTTTACACATCAGGGACATTTTAATCCTAGGGGTGTTTTCTGGTTTAACTTAAAAAAGGTAGATATGGACATAATATTATGTTATATAATATTCAATTATAATAAATGTGGTTATTTTAGAGTATATTTAAATGGTTTCATATCTTTTAAATGCATTGTATCTAATTGTTTTATTTCCAATGCATTTTTTAAGATTAGTACTATTTAGACAGTCTGTTTTGTGGTCTTTGCTGTTTTACCCATGCTACTGCCACAGCAAACAACATTTTACAGAACTGGGTATTGAGAACTGTCTTCTAAGACAACTCTAAAGCATCTGGTCCTCCAGGTGTAGTCATCCTGCATTTTGCACTTGCAGACAACATTGACCAAGAACTTTGTCCAAGACCTTTTATTATATGACCCATTCTGCACTGATTGGACAAAAATAGCACAGAAAGGAGCAAACTTGTTTTAGGAATTCAGAATTGTTTCCAGACAATTTTTAGAAAATGTTTAACATTGTGATGAAAGCTGTTTATTTTAATTTTTTTTACCAAAACTTGGCATGGATTTTGGATTTTGTAACAGACGCATGTACTAAATAACTATTAAAACCACTTAATCCGTTTTTACAAAAAAGTTGCACACAAAATTAGCTGAACTTCTATCCCATCTGCTCACCTTTGATCAGGAACATCACAGTGTTCCTGACCTGACAAATGTTTCCCAGTGTTAAAAAAGCCACTCTTGTCTTCTTTTTCCACAGGAAAGTCATCTCTTACAATACAGTTTGTAGAAGGACAGTTTGTTGACTCCTATGACCCCACCATCGAAAACAGTAGGTGCATTTTCATTGGCTGTTGTGGCTGTAAAACCCGTTGTGAATTTAGTGTGAAGTTGTAAAACCTGTCCTTTTTCATTTTCTCTCCCAGCCTTTAACAAAATGGTTAACGTGAAGGGTCAAGACTTCAATCTTCAGCTAGTTGATACAGCTGGACAAGTAAGAAGCTGTCGTGCTGCTAAAATTACCATTGAAATCTTCATGCTTGTCAATATTTCAGAGTAGTTAATTCTTGAAAATGTCTTGTGACAAACATTTTGGAAGACACAAACTTTGTATGTTTTGAGGTATAGTGTTGTGGTTGATGTATTTATAAGATGTCTTCTCTGTTTTCAGGATGAGTACTCAATTTTTCCACAGTCCCACTCAATGGACATCCATGGATATGTCCTTGTCTATTCAGTGACTTCCTTGAAAAGGTAAGTACACGGTTATGTCCAGCCAGGTAATAGAATAAACAATATTAATTAGAAAAAGCTTCATGCTTCCCAATATTCATTTTTAACAGTTCCAGTGTATACAGTTAAGAATGAGGTGTGACTTGTGAGGATTCTGCTTCTATGAAATGAGCAACATAAAATACAAGCGCTTTTTTTTTTTTTTTTCAAATTTCAGCGCTTTGGGCTTCCTGACAGGGTTGCGGAAGGCGCTTTATAAATAAAGCTTTGAATGATTGATTGACTTTCAGGCTTGATTTATTTGTTGAGATAAAACATCAATGTCACAGAGCTAACTGAGTCTGTTGGAGTCACATTGCTGTTACCCAATCAGAGGGGAGAAGTCTGGATATCAGGAAATTAGACTGTGAATCCTGTCGTCTTCTGCTTCCCTCTGCTCCAGTTGACTTCAACTTCCTGAACACAGGAGCGCCAGAGCTGTTTATCCACAGAGATCAGCTTACAAGGCTTTAATTTATATGGGTGAAACTTGAAAATTAGGAATGTTGTGCAAAAATCAGTTTATTTCACCAATATTGAACCAGACTGAGTGACAATCTAAAGGCTCAGGAACCCTTTGCAGGTGTTCTGGATTCATAAGCTGATTAGTGTGACACTTGAGCTGTTTTTACAGGACCATCGCGTTTGCAAAACGGGATTTGCCGCAGTTCCCTGGGGAGGATTTTGGCATTTATAGTAGCAAAGCTGATGCTAGAATAAACTGCCATCAGGCACCTCTCAAACCAAGACGGGATAAAGGGAGGTCGCTGGGCGGCCCCCCCGCATGTGACGTACAGGTTCGTGCATTCAGCGTCAGACGGAAGACACGTCAGACTGATGAAATTTCTTTTTCAGGACCTTTAGCTTTGATGTGACCTTTATATCCCGGTTGACGCCCCGCTCAGCCAGTGTTTTCACCACTCTGTTGAACAGCTGGCTGTCTCTCACCGTCCCCGTAAAAAGGCGACTGGTCTGTTCGTCCACTCGCACGGCCAAAAGCTCCATGGTCTCCGCGTCCGTCCAGTTTGCCATATTGGATGAAAGATACTAGTGAGAGGCCATGTTTATCTGTGTTTATATCCCTTCCGGCCGGCACTCGGCACACAGTATACGTCTCTAACGCGACCACCCTCTTTTGGCGGGGGGGGCTCCCACAGTCGCTCCAAAGGGATCAGCGGGGCTGACACGCGTTTAGTCGTCAGAGGCGAGGGGCTCATGCGGCAATATTACTACGAGGCTAAGCGCATCAGAGTCGAGTTTTATCACCTTTCCCCTTTGCTCCTTGCCGCATTTACGAGACCCACAAATTCAGATTTATCACTCTGTAATGACGCGATGGTCTGTCCTATAAAAGAGGCTTTTGAGTCTAGAATATTGAACCGTTTCACAATATTCTAATTATCTGAGATTTTGAATGTGTGATTTTCATAAGCTTGTAAGCCACAATCATCACAATTATAACAAATAAGGGCTTGGAATATCTGGCTTGGCATGTAAAGGGTCTATTTTATATATTAGTTTAACCAATCAAGCTGAATTACCTGAACTAAATGAACTTTTGCACCATATTCTAATTCGAGTTTCATCCGCACTAGAGACCACTGACGATGTATTGAAAAACACTACTGAGCATGGTCTTTAAGGTTTTACTGTCGACATGAAAAAAGGTTAAAAACAAAATATTTCCAGTTAATATGACCTCTGATTCATTGTTACATCTACTCAGAACTTCCCTTTGAGTTGGATAAAGTTTCTGCTTACTGAACATATTCTAATACAACATACTGCAGCTGTTCTGAATAGACCCACACCTTCATTTTTCTTTCTACGTCGGCCGTTACTGTATTCAGATTTTGAAATGTTGAACCGACTGAATGTCTCATAAGATTTCGGCCAAAGTTACTGCCCAATCCCAGACCAGTGCTTAAAGTGACTCCTATGTTTGTCTTTGTTCAGTTTTGAAGTTGTGCAGGCTCTACATGACAAGCTGTTAGACATGGTTGGAAAGATTCAGTAAGTCCTTTTCCATTTTTTTAAATACTTTTATAGTGTGTGTTCTTCTTCTTCTACTCATAACCAGTTTTTCTTTTTAGGGTCCCAACTGTTCTTGTAGGAAACAAAAAAGATCTCCACTTGGAAAGGTAATTGTTAACTAAGCTGCTGAGATAAGTAAAGCTGTCATCAACATACAATGATGCTGTGTTGATCCTGGTGCTTCGTTTAGGAAAAACTGCTTCTTCTTTTTTTCTTTCTGCTTTTATGGATCATAGAAGTTTCAAATTTATTGCACATTTAGAAAGTTTTAAGTAAACATTCTTGTGTCACAGTAGCCTTTTTTTAGAAAACAATGCTGCTACGCTGAGCCAGTATCGGAGAGCTTTATGTCGTTTATAAGTGGTCAGACCGTGGTGGTAATGTGGTGCAGTCATGTTCTTTTTACAAAAAAAATTCCACAGTGGCTGTAAAAAGGGGTTATAGGGGCGGTCTCAGTGCTGCCACGGACTTCCGCTTTTCTTGGACAATAACTTGATTTTTATTGCAATCGAGGCCACGCTCCTTAAAGGTTGAATATGAAACATTTTAATAAAAAGTAATATTTAAAAAAATAATACCTCTACTTGGCGTTTAGAGGTGTGCAGAATCAGTGTACAGTAAAAAATAAATAATCACATTTTTATTTTGACGGGCACGATGCAGGTTTTATGTTTACATCTACCAGCCGATAGGGGGCGCCATTGCGGTACAATGCCTGCTTGGCAAGGCAAGGACTGTTAAATGGCGGACTCATTAAGTCCAGCAGCTGATTCTGAGCCCAGAAGGTGTTCCAACACTAAATACGGTTGTAAAATAAACATATTAGTAGAAATTCATCACTGGACATGGTGCTGGCAGGTCACTTCACATGTCTATAGTGAACCTGACTCCCCAGCGACTGGAAAAGGTGTTCTTTTGTTGCACTACCTCCTCAAAACACCAGATGTCATTGTAGTGTCCGTGTTCTATATTCAACATTTACATTTTTTTTAACAAGCTGCTCAAAAATGTATCTGTCCTCCAGTCCCCGTGCAGTCTCTGGTTGTCTGAGCTTCAGCTCTAACGGAGAGAAGCTCCTGGAGCTCTGCATCGCTTCAGTTTATCATCTCAGCTGATTCTGTTTACAAAAGTGAAACTTACGGCCCGTGTTTACTTTCAAAATACTGTAGTAATCGGCCGTAGCTCGGCAGTAACTCCCCACGTGGTCATGACGCCTCCCTCTGTTGCGCCAAGGCGTAAAATGCATTCACAACTCCGGCGTTGCTGTAATATTACGTCCATGCATGGTGACACAAATGCATCAGATGAAATTCCCGCAACGCCATGCCACCACGGCGTGTTCATAAAACACACCGTGGCGGCAGTAATCACGCTGATTTGCCGACATGGTGTGTCTTCTAAAAAAGGGCTTTTGAGGAGCCAGGACATTTTTAAGTGATTCTTACAAGAGCTTGAGTTTGGCTGTGGAAAAAGCATAAGAACCCAGAACCCAAGGACTTGTTGAGCCTTGATTTTTCTTCATTCATGAAACGGCGTTCTTCACTGGTTGTCAGGGTTGTCACCACACTAGTGCTGCTGGGTGCTAATGCCAGATAAACAAACCACATTTGCCAAATGATAAACCACAGAGTGCTTGGATGTCGATTGAAAAAACATATCAGCAGAAACAAAGTTCAAGCTTTTATGTTCATGACTCTCAGCGCTCAAGTAACATTTTCTCAAAGTACTTTTTAAAATCTTAGGTAAATATGTGTCACTACATTTTACATACCACTCACCTCTGGTCAAAAGCCTTTTTCATCCATGTTTGGGTGGGACATTCAGCAGGGCCCCTTCGTTTACACTGCTGCTTCCTGGGTAACTCCACATCTGTGGGCGTTGCTAGTATCGGCTCATCATTCTCAGATGCAGAACCTTCTCCACCGGCAAAATGTGCTGTTTCATATTAGAATAGAATAGAATAGAATAGACTATTGATCCCACCGTGGGGAAATTCACTTGTTTTTTCACTTGTTTGTATTGTAGAGGACCTTACACAGCTTTGGAAAAGAGATTAAAAAAATGTTCCGACATTTGATCTGGGTTTCTTGAATTTGATTTGCACAATCCCCAACAGCTGTGCTTAGTTCCTTCCTGTTTCAACATCTTTAGGAGACAAAACTACAGCTTTGTGACAATTGGAGTGACTCAGATTCATAGGCACCCATTCAAAATGCACACTTGTTTGTCTATGGCTGCCTCCCAGAATGCAATGCAACGTTATGTCATAATCTTATTTTAGCTACTGTAAAGTATGCTATTGAGGAGAATGATTTTGGAAATGATTCTAACTGGTAGTTAGATGAAACTAGAATATGCTGCAAAAGTTAATTTATTTTACTAATTCATCTGAAAAGGTGAAACTATGAAAGGGACTCATTACATGCAAAGTCAGATTTTTTAGACTTTATTTGTTATAATTGTAATCTCATAGCCTGGCAAGCCAGACTAAATAGATATATTAATTAGTCTGGCAACGCTCCATTGACAGCTCTCGGTCGGGCGGGTTCTACCGTTGTCTTTCAAACGATCGCTGCATGCTACTTGACTATGAACAACGTGACATACTCACCGCAACAAATGTCTGTAAACGAGGCAGTCTGCTGTTGAAGAAGGCGAAAATACATCCTTTTTTCTAAATAAAGGACTGAAATACATTTTCAGCCTTTAGTTGGTCTCTCAGTCCAAGTTGAATTGCTGACATAAATAGACTTTTGAACCAGATTCAAAAGATTTTTGAGTTTCACCTGCATGTCGCTTGTTGGTTCTTCTCTGTTGTGCATAGCAGACAAACACACACACACACACACACACACACACACACACACACAGCACATTCACCAAAAAAATCGCCTCATCCCTTTAATACTCTTCATTGTTTTAGTTGGAAACCAATTGGTCAAATTAAAGTCTGTGTAAGCATCTCCATCAGCTGGAAGATTGTAAGCTTTACAAATACAAATCTATTTGTGTTTTTATAAAAACAGAAAAACCATAGAAACTAAAAACCCTTTAATAGAAACTAATAGTAAAAAAAAGCTTTTTGTGAGTTTTAGTCAATAGGGTCATAAATGAAGAATGGTTCTATTTATTATATAATATAATGGTAAATTAGGGCTCAAAAAAACAACGAAGTTTGGTGTAAATTATGGCACATCGTGAACATTTTTGATGCTAAGAAACATAACTTGTAGCATCGCAAGTCCCTGGTACACGAAACCTGAGAGAAAAGTTATGCTGAGGTTTGTTTTTGTTTTATTCTCTCCTGTTTCTCTTCTGATCTCTGGAGTTCTGGTATTTTTTATTTTAACTTGTTGACTGTGACAAAACCAAATAACAAAATAAGAGCTTTGTGTTTGATAAAGAAAGAAACATGATTTTGTTAATTAAATGTCACAGAAGAGGGCTTTTTAAATCAATTTTCAGGGTTATCAAGCCAGAGGAGGGGAAAAAACTTGCTGATTCCTGGGGTGCTGCGTTCATGGAGTCGTCTGCCAAGGAGAATGAGGTAACAGGGAGGGGTTTGATGACCTTTTCTCTACATTTACCCTGACAGAATTCACACTATGACCCCATTTCCTTGCAACACAGACTGCTGTGGAGGTTTTCAAGCGGATCATTTTGGAGATGGAGAAAGCTGATGGGAACGCACCTCCGGAGGAGAAGAAATGCACAGTGATGTAAAAGTTGATCCGGGACGTCAGTAAGCTAATTTACTGAAGACGCAGGCGGCACAATGTCACCAGCTTACCAGTTGCAACCTCATCAATGCCAAGATGCTGCAGTGGAACATTAATCCTCCATCGTGTTATCAGATTGATTTAAATAGCAAAGCAGCTGTCCAGGCAGCTGAAATGGATTCCTGCTGGTTGTAAACACGAGAAGAAGCTTCTAGAGCAGGAACATGTGGACAGTTTCCTTAAAAATTAAAATGTAATCTTGAAAAATTATTGTGCATTTGATTTCCACCACTTGCTTTGGAAAATTACAAATCTTGGGGAATCTCATCAGCTAATGTCTCAGAAAATGAGTTTATGTGCAGCGAAGGCCCGTTGAGAGCTGATGTTGGATTACAGTAGTGATGCTGTAACAGTTCACACTGATTTAAACGTGCTGTTGGAAACTCACTTTTCATCACGATAGACGGATCTTTTGGATTTTTGCATATTTCACATGAGATTTTACTGTGGTTTCACAGTTTTCTGACCTTTTTATCATCTCTGTGGAGCCGTCAACATGACAACAGTGTTGTTCCAGATCTGCTGCTAAGCAGATGAGTTTCCATTGATCATAGTTTAATTTTTCCTAGTAACTGTATATGAAGAACACTTCCTGTAGATTGGAATAGATTATTATTTACCAGTTATCCCTGTTTTATACTGTAGTCTTGTCGATATTTGAATGAGTTTTGTGCTCTCTTTATGATCCTAAGAAGAGTACAGCCTTATATGAATTGTTGGGTTTCAGGTTTTAAACACATTTTAACACTTCACAAGACCATTAAAGAGTCTGAAAGCCAAGTTGGCTCATTCATTTTTACGTTTATCTTTCATTTATGCCTTTGAGGCTGTAGTCTGAGAACTCGTAGTGGTCTTTTTTTTTTCTTCATTAAAAGTTGCAGCCTTACAAAGACAGGACAGGCTGGGTTATTGTTCTATGTGGGCCTCATGTTCTTTCTGTAGTGAAGACTGAGTGCTTTGCAGATATAGATGATTGATAGATAAACAGAAGCTGGTGTTGCTGTGTCTTGTGCCTTACAGTTCAAACTTCCTCATTTATTTTCCTTGACTCAAGGTGCTCTTATTAAAGTTTTTTTTTCTTCTATTGACTTGACACCAATAGTGCAGGTGTTGTATACCTGAACACTGATATTCCCTTGTGGGTCAAAGGTAATTCAGAAATCTTGCTGTAAACTGTTTTGTAAATAAATAAGTGACTCATGTTGGAAAGTGTCTGATTTTACTTGATTATTTATATTTCAATATTTACATAGAGTATTTTTTCTTGTTAATAACTGAACAAATAACATTAAGCTTTGGACAGTTAGAAGTGAGATGCAGTTTTTAATTAAAAATTAAAGCAATTCAGATTATTACAGAAGATGATTAGGGCCACTGAAAAGAAAAGAAAGAATTCAGATTTTTCCAAGAATTCTGAATTTTTCTCAGAATTCGGACTTTAATCTCAGAATTCTAACTTTAATCTCATAATTCTGATATTTCTGAACCTCAGGATTCTGACTTTAATAATCCGGGGGGGGGGGGGGGGGGGGGGGGGGGGGGGGCAGAATTCTGAAACAAAAGTCAGATTTCTGAGATTGAAGTCATAATTCTGAGATTAAAGTCGAAATTCTGAGAAAAATACCAGAATCCTGAGATTAGTCAGAATTCTTTTTCTCCCCCCCTTTTTCAGTGACCCTAATCATCTTTCTTATTACGATAATGTAAAAAAAAATAAAATCTGCGAAATGTGTTGTGTGGTGCGGCAACACTATGGTTATTACGGTAACCTTCCATTCACTCAGCGGAAGAAGATGTGTTAGGGCTTCCGGCTTCGTGAGGTCGGACTCGAGTCGGACAGCCGTAAAAGCGACTCAGTCAATGGAACATGGAGTGTGTAAGTAAAATGCTCGCTACTACACGTTTTTACTTTTAACAAAGCCTCTAAATAACAAAGCTAACTTTTTCTGTTTTGGATGCTAATATTAGCAGCTAGTTAGCACGCTATCTGTCTGCTGGTTTGTTAAGAAAGCACATTATTACTTGAGCAACTGTAATAAAAAAAATATATATATATACATATATTGAACGCGTTACATAAAGTTTTGCCAAGCTTACTAATATATATAAAACGCCCGAGTAGAAAGAAAGTCTCACCTGAGCTGGCTTTTTGATCGATTGTGTCGCTGGCTAACACGCTAACGTTAGTGATGTAGTTTTTATATATATAGTAATTAATGTAAGAAGTTTGATTGGTGTCGACATAATATAGTACAGTTAGCTGCATCAGAGACTCTTTATGAGTGTCTGATGCAGACCTTTTTCTGTTTATCAGAAAAAGCAGGTCGTCTTTTTGTCTCAAATGTGACTTCAAGTTCAGCAAACAACTTGATATACTAACTCGAACGTGCCACGAAGTGTATGATTAATCGAGACATTTTAGTTTGTCTAGTTAACCTTTAGTCTGTCCACCACCGTGGATTCACTAGGCTAAGGCTTTTCTATCGGTTGTCCCTTTTTTTTTTTCATTCAACAGCTATACACGTTACAAATTATTTCTGCAACTTGAACGTACCAATTATCTGGAATGCTCTAAAATGCAGAAGTAGTAATGTGGCTTATTACACGTAGAATGCTTTGAGCCAAACCGCGTCGTTTCTCTTTTAATTTCCAGTGCACACTTCATTTTGCATATCTAATATTTGATGTCAATCAAATATAATTTACTTTTCAAGAAGAACGCTAGGAAAACTGCACGTGCATAAATAACAATATATTTTGCAATTTCAAGCCAAGGCTAAGTTGTGCAGGTTTGATTTTCTTTACATTTTGCGTGAATCAGAATAAAGTCCCATTAGTTGTCACACACACTGATGTGTGTGCCACATTTGTTCTCCGCATTTGATCCATCCCCTGGGGGAGCGGTGAGCTGCAGACACGGCAGCGCTCGGGAACCAATTGGTGGTTTAACCCCCTAATCCAACCCCTTAATGCTGATTGTCAAGCAGGGAGGCATTGGGTCCCATTTTTTTCCAAAGTCTTTGGTATGACCCGACCAGGAATCAAACCCTGATCTCCCAGTCTTAGGGCAGACACTCTGCCACTAGGCCAGCCCACTGAGATGGCCTAGTGGTAGAGTGTTATTGTCAGTGCTCCAGCATCCAGAAGCACAGAAATGTGTCTCCGCAGTACAGCCTGACCAAGGTTACACACACAAAACATATAGAACAAAACCGATACAGGCAGCCACGAGAGCTGCCATTCAAGGCAAATAAATGGAATAATCATCTGTAATTAATGGTAAAAGTCTCAAAAGTGCAATTTGGACTTTTCTCCCTGTATGGACCAGTCCTCCTTACACCGGCTTCAGCTGGTCCAAAATGCAGTGGCCCGACTTGCTGACTGGCACCAGCAAGCGGGATCACATAACCCCGGTTCTGGCCTCTCTCCATTGGCTTCCTGTCTCTTACAGGATCCATTTCGAAATTTTACTTTTTGTTTTTAAATCCCTTCATGACCTGGCCCCATTTTACATCTCTGAGCTGCTGTCCGCTTACGTCCCTGCCAGAACCATGAGGTCCAGCTCTCAAGCTCTTTTAACAGTTCCAAAAATCCGCCATAAGACTCGCGACAACAGAGCTTTCTCTGTGGTTGGTCCCAAACTGTGGAACAAGCTACCTTGTAGCTCAGGTGGTAGAGCAGGTTGCCTCATGATCGGAGGGTTGTGGGTTCGATTCCAGCTCCCGCCAGGGGTATCCTGCTGTTGTGTCCTTGGGCAAGACACTTCACCCAACTTGCCTGTGTTAGTGGTGGTCAGAGGGGCCGACGGCGCCAAATGGCAGCCTCGCCTCTGTCAGACCTCCCCAGGGCGGCTGTGGCTACAAGTAGCTTACCATCACTAGCAGTGTGTGAATGTGAGAGTGTGTGGAAGCGTCTTTGGGTGTCTTGAAAAGCGCTACATAAGTTCAATGCATTATTATTATTACCTCTCAACATCAGGACCACACAGAATCTAGAGCATTTTAAATCCCTTCTTAAGATGCACTTTTTTTATCTGGCTTTTAATGCAGGTTGACTTGAGCATCTTAATAGTTTTTAACAGTTTTAATTATAAATTGTGACTGTTGTGTGCTCATCTTATTTTAGGTTTTTATTGTTGATTTGTTTTACCTTGTACAGCCCTTTGGGTGTAGCTTTGCTGCTGTAAATGCGCTCTATAAATAAAATTGACCTTGACCTTTTCTACAGGAGAATGCTTTAAAAGGAATGCAATTTTAAAACTTAATTAACTTTTAATAATGTATTTTTACAGATTCCAGTAACTATTGATGACATCGAGAGCAAAAAGGATCCATTCATTGATGGTAAAGACATTTTTTTTTTTGTTTTGTTTCTAAAACACTGGCAAGCGAGTGTTTTCATTAGAGGCTTTCTCATTTCTTTAGACCGAGACCGTAATGTATACACCAGGTTTATGAAGTCCCATCGTTGTTATGATCTTGTACCCACAAGCTCCAAATTAGTTGTGTTTGATACTTCACTCCAGGTACAGCAAATGAACATGGTTGTAAATGTTAGTGGAATATATTTGGAAATGATGAAGTGAATAATTTTCCAGGTGAAGAAGGCGTTCTTTGCTCTTGTTTCTAACGGGGTAAGAGCAGCGCCCCTGTGGGACAGTAACAAGCAGTGCTTTGTTGGTGAGAGCTTGTGTCGTTTCACTGACTTTCTGCATAAATAAAAAGAACATCAGAGATGTCCGTTTTCTTTATTTGCTTCTGTTTCATCTCTTCAGGTATGCTAACCATCACAGACTTCATTAACATTCTTCATCGCTACTACAAGTCTCCTTTGGTAAGATGTTGTGTGCTTTTTAATTGTGCTCATAAATTTCAGGGATTGTTTGTTACATATAAGACTTTGTCAACAAATGATATTATTTATTTTCTCTTATTGTGATGCTTTAGGTTCAGATATATGAGTTGGAAGAACACAAAATTGAAACATGGAGAGGTGAGAATGTCTACAGAACACTAGGGTTGCAACGATTACCTGGTTTGTTTATTATTAACCACGGTGTGAAACACGGCAGTTAATCCAGACTTGCGGTACAATTACATTAGTAATCGGTATAAAGGGTGTACGGGGGCGGTCTCTGCACTGGACTTCCGTTTAACTTGGATATAACCTGTTTTTTTATTGTGATCCAAGCTGTGCTCATCAGGTATTTTAACAAGCTGCTCCTAAAGGTGGCTGTCACTCACATTCCCTGTGAACTGTCAGGATATCTGAGCTCCAGCTCTAATGGAGAGAAAATCCTGGAGCTCTGCTCTGCCCCATCTCAGCTGGTTCTGTGTACAAAAGTGAAACATATCGCTTGTGTTTACTTTCTTTTTTAATATAGGATCCTGCCGGAGCTAAGCAGTGACTCTCCACGTGATCATGATACCTTCCTCTGTTGCGCCAAGGCGTAATAAGCACTCATAAGTCAGGTGTTGCTGTAATAATCCTACCAAGCATGGTGGCACAAATGCTGCAAAATTCCTGCAGTGCCATGCCTTAAAAGGATATTCAGGGTTATTCATAACAACAAATGCACTAGTAGGAATTTAACATCTCCTTTCGTGTATCAATCAATTTGTGTTTCTATAAATATTTTCTAGAGTTTGAAACCCTAAGTGTGTGTGTGTGTGTGTGTGTGTGTGTGTGTGTGTGTGTGTGTGTGTGTGTGTGTGTGTTATAAGCTAATACAGATGGGAAATCAATTCCCATAAATAACCTTGGTGAAACCGTGATTATGTCTCCGACTATAATCATATCACCAGAACGTTTAATCATTGCAGCCCTACTGAACACACACGTCTGAAGATTTGATATGATATTCGTTGTGGTGAGCTATCTTTTCTTCTTGGTTATGTTAGAACTGTACCTGCAGGATTCATTCAAGCCTCTAGTCAGCATATCTCCCAATGCAAGGTAAGTGGCAGTACTACTGAAGTGGATCAGCAGTTTATTTATTTATTAAGATTTTATGGCCAAATTAAAAATGTGAACATATACGGGTTTAAAAACAGTATGATGAATAATAGCTGAACTTTCATCTTCTACATTTAGCGATATTGGCATAACTACTATAGACTTTGTATTATTTCATGCTTTTTAATTTCTGTATTAATTCTACTTTATAAAACTGGTCTACGTTTGTACTTGAGCTTCTCTTTGAGACACCTCTGATAAACGAGCATAAGCATCTTGTGAAGCCATTTTCTGGCAATAAGCTGAGCACCATCAACTTTCTCCCCTTTTTGTGTCGCAGTTTGTATGATGCCGTTTCATCTCTGCTGAAGAACAAGATCCACAGACTGCCTGTAGTTGACCCTCTGACGGGGAACACCCTGTACATCCTCACCCACAAGAGGATTCTTAAGTTCCTGAAGCTTTTTGTAGGTTCTTGATCGCTAGTTTGTCACACTATACAATATGAAATAATGATTATATGTAAAAACACAATAAAGCGTTTACTCTCTTGTATTCAGATATCAGAGATGCCGAAACCTTCGTTTTTAAGCCAGACTTTAGAGGAGCTGAATATTGGGACGTTTCGAAGCATAGCAGTGGTTCATGCAGACACACCGTTGTACACGGCGCTGGGTATTTTTGTGGAGCAGCGAGTGTCGGCGCTCCCTGTTGTGGATGACAAAGGTATGTGAGCTGGCTGAAATCTTTATCTCTGTTATTTAGGTTTTTCTAGCAATCCGAGATCTCAAGTTTTTTTTTTTTTGTCTTCTGTCGATGTCTTCCAGGTCGAGTAGTGGACATTTACTCGAAATTTGATGTTATAGTAAGTAAAATTCACTCACTGAATAAATGAAGGAATTGTTTGCTGTAAAGACAGACAGAACATGAATTAGAGCCCCTGTCCAGGTATAAACAGGCTTCATTAAGCTGCTTTAAGGTATTCTCTGTTCACAAGTTTTATCTCTTCAGCTCTTTGATCTGATACAAGCAGACCCACGAGCTCCAAAAAATCTTCAAAAGTCAATTTTCTTAGAAGTGTGTGAGCAATGTTTACTTTCCTCACTCCGTCCTGCTTCCTGGGTGCTGATGGTGCTTTGAAAAGGCTTCGGTATGTGTTCAAGAGAGCCTTGCAGGTCACAGGGTGAAATGTTGGCGAGTGAGTGCATGCTGGGAAATTTTGTCAAGAGTGAAGCAAGAATTGTGAAATTACACTCAGAGAGTCGTGGTCTTAATGATTTTTGTGTTACAATCCTGGTTAAAAACAAACGTCAGCAAATCGGTAACGGTGTAATATTTTTGTTTGGTTTTGTGACTCCAAACCAAAACATGGAGGTATTGTTATGTTCACGCAGAATCTGGCAGCAGAGAAGACGTACAACAACCTGGATGTGACGGTGACCAAAGCCTTGCAGCACCGCTCTCAGTACTTTGAGGGAGTTCTGACCTGCAACAGACACGAGACCTTGGAGGCCATCATCAACAGGCTGGTGGAGGCGGAGGTGAGGATGCCGCTAACAGTCTAGTTATTACTGTCAGTGTCCTTCGTTTTTGTGTTAAGTGACCATTCAATTGCCTTCAGTTTGCTTTTGTACATTTTATAAAGGAGTAGTTAGTTTTCTCCGCTTTTTCCTCCAGGTGCACAGACTAGTGGTGGTTGACGAGCACGACGTGGTGAAGGGGATAGTTTCCCTTTCAGACATCCTCCAGGCACTAGTGCTCACTGGTGCAGAAGAGGGTAAATACAGTCCGAGTTGAAACGCTCGCACATTTTCTCTAATCACTTTAAAAACCTTTAACTCCTGTCTAAAACGTCTATTTCTTCCCCACAGGCGCCGCCTAAGGCAGGAGTGAGAAACATTAGACTTCAGGATGAGACCAGAGCGGAGGGAGCAAGAACAGGCCTGTGGGAGGAAAACTACAAAAGCACATCTCGTGTTTCTTCTGGAAAATAAATGGAGTTGATTTAGTGAGACAGCAGTTTCTAATGAGAAGATCAGGAAACCTTTAAATTGAGCCAAATTCTTCACCCTCAGATTAATTCTTCTTGACTAAAGTAAAACCACATTCCCTTAGTTGCAAGACTGGAGACTGCCAACAGGACGCTTGGTGTCAGAGTAATATCACACTAGCAGCAACATGAGTTGATGATTAACGTTCAGTTAAGTATTGTATTAATAATCTCAAATTATTTTTTGTTCATTTAACTTATTTAAATGCAGCTTTACAATTATTTTAATCCAGTTTATACAAAAAACTAAAGTATTTTACCAATTATTTAGCTTAATGGGCTATTACAACAACACTTACATTGGACAACGTCGTCTGTTTGGTAATAATTAGTTATGTAATGAGACCAAGTATCATTAACTGTCTAAATACTTGTCTGAGGCAGCTTCCGGATCTTTATTTTCTTTCCAAATGGCTGAATTAATGTAGCTTTTCAGTAGGGATTGAATCTGTTTAAATGAAAACAAAGTAGGAGAAAAACAACAGGGTAGCAGACCTGACGGAGCTGCTGTGTTCGATTAGACTACCTATATGTGGATATTTATGGGGTTAGTCTTTTGAATCCTTTGACACAAGTGTATGTAAAATGAATTCTATATATTTTATTTTTGAGCCATCTTTTTTCTGCCTGTAACCCAAAGGTATCTGTGTTTATGGATCGGTTGAATTTTACAAGAAAAACACGTTGACCACTTTAAAGTTGAATGAACATTTGATCTGATTCATTGTATTAATGTTAATACTAATATTTTAGTTAGTCTGTAATGCTGCTGCATCCCATCTTATATTCATTATAAATATTAATTCGTTGAAGGGTCATAAGCACTAAACTCACTAAAAACCAGCATTTTCTTTCCTTTTTCTAAGTGAGAAAAATGAGCCACATTTAATTCTTTGTTATTTGTAAAATTGAATTTGTACAACTGCATGTAAATGCTGTTTTTGTACTTATTCTTATTTAAAATATAATAAAGTTTCTTAAAGCTTCTGTTTCCAGGTCTGCAAATAGCAGCCCAAATTTCAAATGAGGTCAAGTTTTAGTTTAATAAACCAAACCCAATCCGCTAAGCGCTGGAGAATCATGGACACCATGTAGGGAAACATCTATACTGCTGATGAAGTGTTCGTATCAGATCCTGCTCAGGTTTCTGTCAGGATTTAGGGCACAGCAACCCACTGACATGGTTTATGTAAACATTCTTTTTTTCAGAGGTGTGATCTTATATAAAAACTGCTGGCAGCAGCAGCTGGAGATCATTCTGAGGACTGTTTGTTTTTAAATGGTGTGTAGTCAGCAGTAGTGCGAGTGGTTTTGCTTAGTCTGCACACTCAAATAAACGGGGGGAAAAATCTAATAAGACCAGAGCTATTTACATACAGCAGAGGACACAAGCTCTCATTTTCATCAGACAAACACGGACAGCACATTGTTCTTCAAATTCTTCAAATTTAATAAAAGTTACAGCAACATATAACCTCACATTAGTCCAACTGCAAGGTCTAGATCAATTCCCTTTGGAAAATTAAAGGTACAATATGTAAGTTTACCGTGAAAGTCTGATGTCTCAATCATGTAGAAAGTTATATTGAAACAGAGGGACAGATTTTATTTTATTTTTTTTACGATCTGTGAACCTATGAGGTTGCGAAGTATGCGCCAAGCTAACGCTGCAGAGTGAACATTTGTAATTTGACATGGGCCGGTAAAGTGCTGCGGCATCTTTTTGTTTTACCCTAAAATTTGGTAAAGGAGTTTGGAGGCTAATGTTGAGTTAAGCCTGGGCACACTGGAGGCAGACGCATCATTTTAAATTGAAGCCATTGTAGTTAATGAGAGTGGGCACACGGGGAGAGCTGCGCCACGTCCCAGAAGCATTGTTTCTAGGTGCTGAAGATGGGCACCAGCTCTATCTCAAGTGCTGCGGCTGTTTATGACATTGTGGAGTGCTTTACAACAGACATTACAACGCGGAACGCCTTTACAGCACAAATTCCTCTGCTGGCTCAAACCCAGCTGCAGTTTTGATATCTTTAAAGTACTGCTGAGCTTAAAATATTCTAATAAATAGCACACTTACCCATTTTTAATTAATTTCAGTCTTACAAAACACGACAGCAAGTCTGATCACGTATAAACAATAGAATCACTTCCCGCTTTCTGTTCTCTAGTCCCGCGTGATGATGTGAATATTGAGCGACTTGCCAAGAAGTGCTCAGCGACACGGCGTGTCCCGTGTGACCACTTGACTTCTCAAAATCTCGGGCGTGATGCTGCGTGGCGCGTCCACCTCCGGTGTACCCCAGGCTTTAGCAATGAATTGGAAGCAAGTAGTTGGCGCTAAAATAAGCAACTTTTTCAATTACCAACAACTCGATAATACAGGTGCTGGCCAGTAAATTAGAATATCATCAAAAGGTTGAAAATATTTCAGTAATTCCATTCAAAACGTGAAACTTTTACATTATATTCATGCAATGCACACAGACCAATGTATTTCCAATGTTCATTACATTTAAATTTGATATTCATAAGTGACAACTAATGAAAACTCCAAATTTGGTATCTCAAAAAATTAGAATATTCTGAAAAGGCTGAATATAGAAGACACCTGCTGCCACTCTAATCAGCTGATTTACTCAAAACACCTGCAAAGGCCTTTAAAAGGTCCCTCAGTCTTGTTTTGAAGGCACCACAATCATGGGGAAGACTTCTGACTTAACAGCTGTCCAAAAGACAATCATTGACACCTTGCACAAGGAGGGCAAGACACAAAAGGTGATTGCTAAAGAAGCTGGCTGTTCGCAGAGCTCTGTGTCCAAGCACATTAACAGACAGGCGAAGGGACGGAAAAAATGTGGTAGAAAAAAGTGTACAAGCTCTAGGGATAACCGCACCCTGCAGAGAATTGTGACGACAAACCCATTCAAAAATGTGGGGGAGATCCACAAAGAGTGGACTGCAGCTGGAGTCAGCGCTTCAAGAACCACCACGAGGAGACTCATGAAAGACATGGGATTCAGGTGTCGCATTCCGTGTGTCAAGCCACTCTTGAACATGAAACAGCGCAAGAAGCGTCTCGCCTGGGCCAAGGACAAAAAGGACTGGACTGATGCTGAGTGGTCCAAAGCTATGTTTTCTGATGAAAGCAAGTTCTGCATTTCCTTTGGAAATCAAGGACCCAGAGTCTGGAGGAAGAGCGGAGAAGCACAGAATCCACGTTGCATGAGGTCCAGTGTAAAGTTTCCACCGTCAGTGATGGTGTGGGGTGCCATGTCATCTGCCGGTGTTGGCCCACTCTGTTTCCTGAGGTCCAGGGTCAATGCAGCCGTCTACCAGGAAGTTTTAGAGCACTTCATGCTTCCTGCTGCTGACCAACTTTATGGGGATGCAGACTTCACCTTTCAACAGGACTTGGCACCTGCACACAGTGCCAAAACCACCAGCACCTGGTTCAAGGACCATGGTATCCCTGTCCTTGATTGGCCAGCAAACTCGCCTGACCTTAACCCCATAGAAAATCTATGGGATATTGTGAAGCGGAGGATGCAATACGCTAGACCCAACAATGCAGAGGAGCTGAAGACGACTATCAGAGCAACCTGGGCTCTCATAACACCTGAGCAGTGCCACAGACTGATCGAGTCCATGCCACGCCGCATTACTGCAGTTATTGAGGCAAAAGGAGCCCCGACTAAGTATTGAGTGCTATACATGCACATTCTTTTCATGTTCATTCTTTTCAGTTGGCCAACATTAGAGAAACAAACATTTTTTCATTGGCCTTTAGAATATTCTAATTTTCTGAGATACCAGATTTGATGTTTTCATTGGTTGTCACCTATAAATATCAAAATTAAACGTAATAAACATCGGAAATACATTGGTCTGTGTGCATTGCATGAATATAATGTACAAGTTTCACGTTTTGAATGGAATTACTGAAATATTTTCAACCTTTTGATGATATTCTAATTTACTGGCCAGCACCTGTACTGTGACAGGAATTTACTTATCAACTTGGTGTGTATGACAACATGACTCGTCTTTGCTTGTCATTTAGAATCATTGGTGCAGATCCGTAGCTAGCAACATCCATGAAGCAGGGTGAGAAAGGGACTTATGTGTTTTGAAAATGGGCTGCAGTAACCAATTGTGACCGCAGGATGTCAGTATTACTTCATTCTTACACAATAGACAATACAGGCCAAAAGTTTGGACACACCTTCTCATTCAATGTGTTCTTTATTTTCATGACCATTTACAAAGGGGCCAACAAGTGCTAAACACCTCTGGGAACCCCTTCAAGACTGTTGGAAAACCATTTCAGGTGACTACCTCTTGAAGCTCCTCAAGAGAATGCCAAGAGTGTGTAACGCAGTAATCAGAGCAAAGGGTGGCTATTTTGAAGATAATATAAAACATGTTTTCAATTATTTCACCTTTTTTGGTTAAGTACATAACTCCACATGTGTTCATTCATAGTCTTGATGCCTTCAGTGAGAGCCTCTCAATGAAAATGGTCATGAAAATAAAGACAACACATTGAATGAGACAGGTGTTCAAACTTTTGGCCTGACTGTACATTTAAACATTTGGCTGTAATCACAGTGCTACAAGCCAAATGTAGCACAAAAACAGCTCATAAACATGGTGGTGAAGGGTGATGGTTTGGGCTTGTCTAGCAGCCTTGGAACATTGAGCTTGTTTGTCCTTGTAAACTCAAATGGGAGGCCATCTGTCTGATAGCACATACTTCACTGTAGCAACTAATACATATGAATTATGACTAGTAAGATGTGATATTCCATACAAATATGAAATATCAATCTGATTGATCTTTGAATGTTTAATCAGAAGATTCTAGGGTTCTTTGCTTATTCAGGGACCATAAACACATCATGAACTCTTAACTCAGAGACTGGGCTATAGAGCCCCTCTGTGTGGTAACGTATTGAGATTTTTTGTGCATTAAGATTCAGTGAATCAGGAACAAATGATTTTCAAAAGCTCTAAAGTCAGTTTAGTGTTGTTTTAAATCAGCTTCACCCTTTATTATTTTCTAAGAACAAATGTAAAACAAACTTCTGGTGGATTCATAAGCCTTTAATCACAATCCTTGTTGAAAACGCATTTACCAGTGAAATACATTTAGTGAAAATGTTTCACGAGTTCCGTAACTTCAAGCAAACTGAATCCAAGCGCTTAACATTAATTCAATAACTTTGTTCTTAAGGATCATATTATTGGCAATATCAGAAAACTGCTATGGGTTGAAGAGATTTCTGCTCCACACAGTCTTTGTATTTTTAAGCTACTTCGCAAAAAAATGTCACAATTCATGTTTGTTTGTCTGGTTTTGTAGCCTGGCCTGCCAGAGTCGTCCTCTGTTTAGTTCTGCACAGAGAAAGGGTCTGAGAACTCTCCTATTCAAATAACCCCACCCCCTGAGACTTCTAACTGAGCCAATCAGCGCTGAGCAGCGTACGTCACACACCATAACGCTCGAACATGGCGACTGAAGCGGAGGTCGCTGCGGCTCTTTCCTTTGTTCTAAATGACTTGGACACGTCGTTAAAACAACAAGTAGAGCGCTAAAAGCTTTCCCTCTAAAGAAAGATATTTGCACCGTTGCCAGACACCTTTTTTTTCCTACAGGTAAAAAACTACAGCGTCGCGCGGTACAGTCAGGATTCTTTTTTCTGATTGGTTATTTTTGAGCTGCCTAGTCCCGCCCCTCAAGTGCTTCTCTGCCTGTGAGTTACCCGTATATTAATGTCGATGGAGTTACCAGACTCTCTCTGTGCAGAATTAAACAGAGGACAAGTCTGGCAGGCCAGGCTACTGGTTTTGTGAATAGACATTCACATCTTCGCTCTATGTGAACAATGAGGTAGACACTAAATATGTTTGTGAGACTAATCATGGGTTTTGTGTGTAATTTTAAGGGTTTCTATTAGAGTTTTATGTTATGATTAAAGCCATACTAGGCAACTTTTTCATACTTTTGAATCATTTCTTGAGCCATTTTGTGCTAAAATGAGCCTTTACAGGATTAAAGAAAGGCCACCCAGCTTCTATCGCTCCATGTGGCCAGAATATCGCACTTGCAATTTCAGACTGGCTGGACGTTCTGTTGGGAACCTGGTTGCAGCACGTTTCCTGCATGTTTTTAATCATGAACACAGCTGATTTGTTTAATTTAGTGATGAATCACCCCTGTAGACACTAATGAAGTCTGGGGAGACATTTCAGCTGTTAGATTCCGGTGTTAAAAAGATGAACACACAGCGAGGAGATAGGTTTCATTTTTGGTCTGACCACAGATAATTCATAACGGACACTAGGGGGTGCTGAAATCAAGCCAAACCTGCCAAGACCATGGGGAATGGGGGGTGCTGCTGTTTGGATCGCTGGCTATAATGCACATAACACACAAGCTTACAATGTCAAGAAGGACAACACCTATCCCTTCTCCTCCAGCTCGGCTGTGTGGCCTGGGGGGTGCGCGCGCGGGGTTCAGGGGCCAAACAAAGGGGGTCTGTGGGCCGCACATGGCCCGCGGGCCACCTATTGAGGACCATTGAGGACCACTGCTTTAGACTTTTCACTAAAATGTGAATCCGCTCTTTTTATAGGGTTAATTTTAGTTTTTGGCCATCCTTCTGTCCTTGCCCTTCTTTTTCTCCTCTTGCTGCTCCTTGTATTTCCACTTAGGCGGTTCAAGTCGACCCTTGTCTTTGTTCCTTTTCTTCTTGTCTTTCTTTGGTGCAGGGTCTGAAGGACTGTCCACACTGATGTGTGGAATGCACCCGGATGGGAACACACTGTTGCGCCTCGCCACACTGCGGGGAATGAAAGTTGTGGCCATTTTGTTAGAGGCCAAAGACAGGATGCTACCTCTCCGCTGAGTGTCAGGAGGGCACATTGCAGCGACTGCCTCTGCAGAGTGGACAGAAGGGACGATTGATGCTGATCCGTTGCTGTGGCATACTGAGCTTTCCTCCAGCTCCTTCTGTGGGTGTTTTTTCATCAGCTCCTGCACAGCCAGCCGTCTCTTCCCCATTTCTGGCGGACTCGTGGGGCAGAGAGGGCGACATCCAGTGGAGATGAGAGGGCTGTGGATGCCGGTGGTCATGCGCACCATGTGGTCCATGACCCCATTGTCCTGGGGATCTTGCGGAAAGCTGAATCCAAACGTGTTTTTAATCCGTAGAGTGATTTTTTCTGCAGGGCTTTTCTGAGCCATAGCTTTGTCCACCTTCTCCTTGAGCTCTGGCCACTCAGGGATGTAACTCTCACAGAACTGCTCGGCCTTCGGACGCATGGTGAGGCGGCGGAGACGACGAAAGGTCTCAAAGCGACCCGTTTTGAGGGCCCAGTCCTCAGCACACTTTCCACAAGAGGAGTCCACTGCATTTGTGTCAGCCCCTGGAATGGGATGATTGATGATGGAGACAGGAGAGGGGAGTTAAATTTTTATCTGAGTTATACACTCATTTTCTGCTTTTAGAGCAATCTCAATGACTTTTCATGGCAAACAGGTTTAAGAGCAAGAAATGGATCATTAATAAGATTAATTATGTCTGTTCTAATTGGAAATGACCTAAATGGCCTAGTTCTCACAAAACCAGGCACTAGTCACTAGTTTTAACACAAACTCACAAAAAGGATTCTTAATATTTATTTCTATTCATCTGCATTAATTAATGACATGTCAGCCTTTTAACCCTCATCTCCTGTTTCTACATCTTATCTCAAACAACATTTGAATTCATTGGCCTCTAGGTCCTTTTCAGACATATCAATGTATCTTTAACTTATGGGTAATTGAAACAGTTTTTCCACAGAACCTTTAATTTATCGTCCTCGTTTGCAGGCTGGTGTCATAATCAGAGTATCAAAGGAAAAACCTCACAGGAAGATTAGAAAACTAGATTAGAAATAATCAAGCGCCCCATCTAGAAGCAGCCGGGAGGACTAGTGAGTCAGAGATTAGTGGAATTGAGATTTGACGATGCCCTCAGGGTGATCCCTTAAACCGGTCTGGCGTCACTAGCTCATTAACTCGCCTGCAGGGATATAAGATGGGGTCAGCTGAGGTCATAAATGATCATGTAGGGGCAGCTCCTGGATCTTTGGGACTTAGAGCTCCCTCCATCTTTGGGGCAGATCTGTGGTCCCTCACACTCTCTATTGGACGCTCCTATAGAGAAACCTTACATATACCAGCACGTGTACACACACAGGTGCTCACATGGTGCTCTCATAAGTATGGACTTGGGCATTTTTAACACATGTCTTAAGACTGTGGTTGGCACTAAATGCACTGTGATTTATTATCGTGTGATTGTTCAGTAAAACAATGTTGATTTTATATTTCCTCATCAGGTTGACGCAGTGACGGCTTGTTCTTGTTGTATTGTGTGTCCCCTTTTTTTTCTTTTTTGTTTTTTTTTTGTTTTTTTTTTCTTTCTGCAGGTCTAGAAGCAGACTCTTGTTCATCATTGATTGTTTATTTGTGACAGGACACGAGGAAAAAAATAAATAAATAAATGATCATGTAGCGTTGACAGCAAGAGACTAGGCTGGAATGCCATGTGTAAAAATCTAAACCTAATTAACACACACAGGTGAGTAGCTGCTTTACTCGTAGCTTTCACAAGGACTGTTATTTTGAAGGAGAACCAGACGATCACCCCTTTGGAAGACTGGCAGCTGTCTTGAGACCTGAGATCTTATGGGCAGCGACAGCTACTTGTCTAAGGTCATTAACGAAGACCTGTATGCCCCAGACCAGCAAAGTCTCTGAAAAGATAGAATTAAAAGGGTTAACTTTGCCACATCCTTACATACCAGCCATAACAAGAGCTGCCACCACGTCATCGCGGCCTGTCATGGTGGCCTTGATGAGAGCCGTGAACCCTCGACAATCTTTGAGTTCTGTGTCTACACCTGGGTAGTAGTTCAGGATGTACATCACTGTGTTGATATGACCTGCAGAGTTCAGGTATCAGGTGATCAGTGTCATAAACTACTTTCCTTTCAGTGGGGTTGTTTGACTAGATGACTCACCTGCCTGGGAAGCCATAATCAGTGCTGTGTTGCCTTCGTTGTCCTGGTGATTTATGTCTATAAAGGGACAGTTGTGTAGCACATGAACAATATCCACAAAACCATTACAGCAGGCCACCATCAAGCCGTTCTGTTGGTAAAAATCAGTGATAAAGATCAGACTGACTCAAATGCTCTGAGTCGTTGTCTTTATAGAGAGAAGGGAAGATTTTTAAAAAAGCAGCATGAGATTAACCTGAAGGTCAGAGAGGCAGTGCAACAGATTATATACACGTACAATGTGAAAAGCAGAAGACAAATCCATAGATAACGTTCTGCTGTGTGGGCACAGAGTCCATCTCTTTGGTAGTAGACATGCGAGACGTGCATCCTCTACTTGTCATGTTCTGTGTCACTGTGGTCCCCAGCCCCCTCCTGGTTCCTTTCATGTGTCCCCTAATCTTCTGTGCCCCCCTTTTGGTCCCCAGCGTCTTCAGGTTTCCCTCTAGTCACTTCACTTAACATTAGTTTATTTATCTTTAGTTTTTGTTCTACAGTGTTTAAAGTTCAGGTTATTTTAGTAGCTTTGGTTTAGGATTCAGATATGGGTTTCTCCCCTGCTTATTTCTGCTTCTTCCCTCAGTTCATTATTTTCACCTGTGCCCAGTTCCCCACGCACCTGCTCCTCGTCTCCTATCACCCAGCCCTGTGTATATAACCCTATCTGTGTCTCTCAGTGTTTGTCGGCCCATTGTCGTTGTCAGTGTTGTTTTGTCCGTCTCGAGTGTTCTCCTGTTCTTGCTCATGAGTGAGCTTCTGTTTTGCCTTTTTGTCAGCATTTTTGCCCAGCCTCCTTTAATAAAAGGACTTTATTTTCTTAAACCTCTTCTGCCTCGAGCCGTTCCGGTGTTCTGCCTCTTAGGTCCTAACCTCCTCCTGCGCCACACGTGACACTACTCTAGTGGTTCCCAAACTGGGGTCTGGGACCCCTTAGAGGGTCTGCACAAGATTGCAGGGGTTCCCCACAAAATTGTCTGTGCTGAAGTTCTGAGGTTACTTGATTTGTAAAAATTATCCCAATAACAGCCTGCAGTATAATCATAAATATAAAAGTTATAACTCTGTGTGCAACACATTCTCACACCCTAAGAGTCAAAAAGAGACACAGTGTGACCAAGTGTTTGTTTCCGACGTGTAGGGAGCCCCTGCGCGTCAGGAGGCGACGCGCTGTGCCAAAGCGTCGCCATCCGACGTCCGCGGTAGAACGGAGATTTGACTGAATTGTGACCTTAAGTCTCTTGGTATTTAACTTTCCCCTCTCCCCCATCCTAATCTTAACCAGCTTGCGCATGCTTTGTTTCGCGTTTCATCATTCCTCTCAAACACGCTTAACATAAAATTTAGACTGACATACTGAGTTAAGGTTAGGATGGGGGTGTGGGGAAGGTTAAATCGCTAAAAGGTTAGTGAAATGTTTGTGAAATCTCCGTCTTACCATGTGCGTCGAATGGCAACGCTCTGGCACAACACGTCGCCTCCTGACACGCAGGGGCTCCCTACATGTCGGAAACAAGCGTGTGTCCCTGTGGTCCCCGCATTGAATGACCAGTTTGCACTGGTCAGTCAATGCGATCGATAAGATTTTATCAACAATGAAAACAGAGCAGGGGGCTCCCACATGTCCACAGGGGACGCACCCCGCCTTGGTGGACTTCAGCCTAGCGAGGTCATCAGCTGGAGGAGTCAATGTGCTCTTCGCTTCTCCCAAGATCTCCCTCCCACCTGTGACTGTACAGTAGATGAGCGCTGGATTCCCCCCCCCCCCCCCCCCCACACACACACACACACACACCTTCCTATTGGAGTCTCATGTTATGTTGTGTTGTCTGAAGTCTGTTGCATATCTGTCTGAGGTGTTTTTTTTTTTTGCATAGCAAAGCTGCCCTCTTGGGGGAGGGTAACTCTGAAGTGCCTTTTTTCCCTCCACCTGAACCAGTCCTCATGTTACCCTCTTATCTCTATTAAGGTAGCGCGACTCAGGTTGCGAATGATCACAGTCACCAATTCTTGTCATGTGTCTTGCCCATGTTTGTCTGATCCCTGAATTGTGTGTACTGAAACTCTAATTTCCCTCTGGGATTAATAAAGTATTGATTGATTGATTGGTCACACTGCATCATTTTTCGACGCTTAGGGTGTCAGAATGTGTTGCTGTGTGAAGTTCGTAAATGATCACGTTTAATGTGTGTATGCGTGTAGGAGCGGGGTCTTGGCTTGTCTTGGACACACTAACAAGGGAGTCTTTAAGGAAAAAAGTTTGGGAACCACTAGTCTACTCCACGCTTTGTCCTTTAAGCAAACTGGAGTGGATCCGATTTTTTTTGACAACATGCTTGAGAATTAATTATGCAGCACTCTTGCCATGCGTTTGCACAAGACATCTTGGAGCCACTGGCCTGTAGTGCGTTGGATCCTTGGCATGAGACCGCTTAGAAATCGAAATTATGGCGGATTCCTTCCACTGAGTAAGGACACAGCTGGACTAATGAAGGAGCAGGAGCAGTCTGGTCAAAAGCACATAGCTGAGTGGAGTGCCTCGAAGCCTGTCAGGGTCAGAGGTCACTGAGCGCAGGATAGCAGTCACTATGTTTATCAAAATTGAGGGCTATAACGAGAGGGTCAGGAGTCCAGGTGGGTGGAAGTTATTTAAGAAGTTGTTGATGAAGAAATTTTTTAACCGAGCAGTCAACTTTCGTAGGTTTTGGGGCTCCGCCTATCACGCTTCCCTTCCATTTCCTGATTTTAATTTCTGACCTGTCCCATGCCTGCAAAATAGAATAAATGACTAAACAAAGGAAACCCTCACCCAGCCGTTGATGTCATACTCCATCGCCTCGTCCTTCGTGACCCCTCTCTCCAGGACTTTTCGTAGAGCTATGTGGTCATTCCGAGCACATGCGTGATAGAGAGTTGACGCTTCACCAGCATTTGTTGGCTCTTGAGTGTAGACAGGTAGCAAGGAGTCGTCAGAGAGGATGCTGTCGCAGTCAGGCTCTCTTCCTGATGAAGCATCATCATCATCAGGGCCTGAGCCCAGGTAGGGGTCCTCCTCTGCAGTGGCCATCCTCCAACAGAAATGGGACTCAGTCTGGATGAATTACATCTACAGGATCAACACAATTAGGAACACTTCAAACAAAAACATCAAAATAGATGCGGGATTCAACACTCAGCTGGTGCCTATCTCCAGCAGTCAATGGGCAATCAGGCGGGGTACACCCTGGACAGAGTGCCAGCCCATCGCAAGGCAACACAGAGACACACAGGACAAACAATCATGCACACACACACACACACACTCACACCTAAGGACAATTTAGACAGACCAATTAACCTAACAGTCATGTTTTTGGACTGCGGGAGTAAGCCAGAGCATCCGGAGAGAACCCACACATGCACAGGGAGAACATGCAAACTCCATGCAGAAAGATCCCAGGCTGGGAAGCGAACCCAGGACCTTCTTGTTGCAAGGCAACAGTTCTAACCACTGCGCCACTGCGCAGCCCCTGAATCTTTAACCTTTTGGGTCAAATCGTGAAAAAATCATTCTGGTCTGTTTCTGATCAAAGGGCATCATATGAATTCCCATTATGGACGGAGAACATTGGTGGTTTCTGAGAGAAGCATGAGAGGCCATGAGATAAAACAAGGCAGAAGGTCTGATGTTTGCAGCACTTCCAGGGCAGAAGGTGTCCTAATCTCCACACCTTCATACATGTGACCATAACACGCTGCACATGCAAGAGGAGGAAGAGGAAGAGGGAAAAGTTGGAAGTTGTTTTGCAACAATCAAGATCTCAGATAGGCAAAAACATCACCTTTTTTATTTGGGTGATAAAAAGTGTTTTGGAAGTTTTAACGATGTAGAAATGATAAATACAAGGATGTAGTTATCGTTATCAGTAGTTTTGAATCTTTAAAGAGAATTGGAGTTCCATTTAGACATTTGTTCACATCTATATCATCTTTTGAACCTTTTAGTTCTGTCTCTTTATGGACCTTCTGAGGTTTAACTGCAGCATCTACCATCCTCCCATCTAGGCAACCCAAACACGCAGATACAGTGGGATGTGAAAGTTTGGGCAGCGTTGTTAATCTTCCTGTATAAATCCTTGGTTGTTATGATAAAAAAATGTCAGTTATATATACATACATATATATATCATAGGAGACACACACGGTGACATTTGAGACGTGAAACAAAGTTAATAGGATGAACCAGCCTAATTTTGTTAAAACAATTATTGCACACTTTCTGTAAATCCTATAAACCTCGTTTCACTTCTCAAATATTACTGTTTTATTTTTAAATATTACTATATGATTTATTTAACTGAATGTTTTTATCGTAACAACCAACGATTTATACAGGAAGATTAACAACGCTGCCCAAATTTTCGCACCCCACTATTTAGATGGGTTTGACCAGCTAGCTAGAAGTTATTTCCAAGTCTTACCTCTATTATTGTACCAAAATGACTCGATTTCCTCTTTTATGGCTCCAGAGCAGCTGTCACACTTGAGTTTTCCATGTCCATCCCACAACGGAGAGGAGGAGTCCTCTCAGAGTCACGGTTTGTTGCTCTTCTCAGCTCATCCTGCTTACGACAGCTTTAGAAAGAGGATTACTCCCTGCTCTGTCCGATCTCTGGCTCCATCTAATACCAAAGTTCCCTCAAGTCACAGCTCACTGCTTGTTTATTTATTTGGATTTATCATTTTGGACGAGACAATTCTCAGTGTTAAAAAGGTGTCGAGGACATCAGACTCAAAGCTGCTGAAGAATAAACGATGAGAAAATTACAATGTCTGTCCAAACGAATGGGTTTTACTGTTTTACTAAGAAGACGTTTATTTGCAGTCAAATGTAAACCTTGTTAGTGATTTGTGGATAGTCGTCCAAAGGATGATGAAAGGAGCAGCAGGTGAGTTTCTCAGGTTCACCACTGGATGGAGATCTCTCAAAGTGCTCAGTCTCAGATGTTTCTTTAATGTGATCGCAAGAAAACAAAGTTTGTCTCATGAATGTCAAAGAAAAGAAAAACATCCAAGGTTGATGCGTATCTGAAAGGAATTAAATTTTCCACCAAAAAGAGTTTATTTAAAATCTGAAATAAGACCCTTAGATAATTTAAACATGTGTCTACTCCAGATTGTTTTTTCTTCTCCGGACTGATCGAACGTCTGAGGGCATGGCTGAAACTGCTGTACGGGCCGACCCTTTCTACCTCTACCAGAGCGTGAGGAGAGCTCCTGCAGAAACAGATCTGCTGTTTTCATCAAAACAGAGGAGACAAAGAAATGCTGGAATACAAATTTAGCCTTTGATGCTTTTTTGAAGCTGCAGGTTGGACTATGCAGAGATTTCTCTGAAGCTTCTTTAACTTATTTGACTTTGATTTAAACAACATCAAGATAAAGTAAAATGATGCAACAGTAGATTTACTAACTCAAGAGAAAAGAGCAGAGAAATCAAGATGAAAACTTTAGTAAAAGTTCAGGAGACCACTCCAGGACTTCTAGGAGGTAGCATTGACACCGTGAGTGCATTTGGTTCCTAACAACGTTTACGACTCCAACAGCTGGAAAACAATTTAAAAAATAGCAATTTAGGATTGAACTGATTTGTAATTGAAAGCCTGAGATCCTCTCAGCACTTATTCACATTTTGTTTTGCAAAATATTTTAAAATCAGTTTAAATGTAGATACGTATTTTTTAAATCTTTGTAAAATAATAAAACTGACAAAATGTCTGCATTTTTCCACTTTACCTTGTAGATTATTGAACTTAGTGTAATTTAACTTTGACGTAATAAAACATTTCTTTTGACGTTTTCATTTTCCTCTGAAGTGGTCACTAGTAGTGTTATTTGTGCACACTTCATCCAGAGCAGAAGATTACATTCTGTAATTTAGTTGGAATATAAAAAGGTGTCTGTGTTTTTCTGTCTTTTGTAAACCTGGCTGCAAAGTCAAGTCTTGGGTTTGAGGATTTGATGTTGTGCAGTCTCCTGCTCAGTTTATTGCCCCAAGAAAAATTCCTCAGATGAGATAAAACAAAAGGGAAGAAAGGTGAAGAGAACAGGTTTCTATCTTGGGTCTAAACCTGCCCATTAATCTGTTGCATTTCATACATACCATGTAGTCCCATATTCTTTACTTCTGATGTATTTTTTTGCTTTTAAACACACTTTTAATGGCCTCTTTCTCTCCTGTTCACTCATTCATTGGTCTTGTGTAAAGTTTTCCGACAGCAGCAGAGCCGGAGCTCCATCTGTGGGAAACAGTCAGGATATCAGGACAGAGCCGGAGTCCAGTGTGGCTGCAGGACGTAAAGGTACAACAGTGAGTGTGTTTACTGACCTGGTGTCTGCAGTAAATTTAGAGCGACCGCTTTGTTTGCTTCCGTCGGTACCTACTATATCACCCAGAGGTGTCATGCTGCAGATCGGTGCTTGCATGTAGAAAGTGATCCAGCACACTAAACAATGAACACGTCTGATTAGTCGCTGCTCAGTCAGACACGTGCAGCTCCACATACAGCCACGTACAATAATCCTACACTGTGGAGAGGTCAGGGCTAGTTCACGGAGAAGGATCATGATGATTTTAAAAGATTAAGAGAGCATTTTGATATTTTTATCACTGCAGTCTGTCTCTAGGGTTGGAAATGCAGTTTTTGTTGCATGCACAAAATTGCCGAAAACAAAATTGTACGCACAGTTTTATTTTTATCTCGATACATTTTTGAACCAGCAGGAGTTTGTTCCCAGATTTTGTATGTTTCCTCCTTGGCTGCAGTAAGTTTGAACAGCTGTGCTCAGATGATCAAGAATGCTGTCTTTCAGATTAAAGTTTAGTCAGCTGTGTTAAATGTTTAGATGAACGAGAAAATTTTTTAATAAAAATGCAAGTTTAGCCACAGCTGCTCTCATTGAGTTTTACAAATAAAAAACCAGAAACCAATTAGTAAATGTTTTTTATTTATTTTCAAAATCCTTTTTTCTTTGCTGAAAGTGCATACATCTGCAGCTGGTCGTATGCTGGTGAGCTGCATGTGTGCTCCAGCTATTAGCTGAATGGTTGAAGAGGAAATGAGCAGATGGTGTGCACACATTTGAACTAAAAGTCTACATGTGGGTGACAGAATGGAGCTGTGAGCCAGATGCTGACGTCATGCTGCTTTCATCTGGTTCCCCCTCACTTGTGATGCTTGCTATTAAGCTAATATTGTAAGTTCCTGTTTTATTTCCACCTCCGACGGATCGCTAAGATCAAGCCAACGCTGTCGAGGGCTCATTTAGAAACAGTTTTACATGCATTTGTATTGTCACGCCTTGACTATTGTAATGCTGGTGTGAGCTCAGATGTACTTGCCTGCCTTCAACTTGTCCAGAACTCAGTGGCGAGCTTCTTGTCTGGTACTAGGAGAAGGGAGCGTATCAGTCCTGTATTGGCCGGACCTCACTGGCTCCCAGTTGAGTATCGGGTTAAGTTTAAAACCCTGCTGTAGGGCACTGCCCCAACTATCTCTCCTCACTGCTCCATAGACACACCCCCTCAGGGGCCTTGCGTTTCCGTTGTCGTCATCGTCTTCCTCCGCTTATCCGGGTCCGGGTCGCGGGGGCAGCATCCCAACTAGGGAGCTCCAGACCATCCTCTCCCTGGCCACTTCCACCAGCTCCTCCGGCAGGACCCCAAGGCGTTCCCGGACCAGATTGGAGACGTAACCTCTCCAACGTGTCCTGGGTCGACCCGGGGGCCTCCTGCCGGCAGGACATGCCCGAAACACCTCCCCAGGGAGGCATCCTGACCAGATGCCCAAACCACCTCAACTGATTGCTTTCGATCCGGAGGAGCAGCGGTTCTACTCCGAGTTCCTCCCGAATGTCCGAGCTCCTCACCCTATCTCTAAGACTGAGCCCGGCCACCCTACGGAGGAAACTCATTTCAGCCGCTTGTATTTGCGATCTCGTTCTTTCGGTCATTACCCAAAGCTCATGACCATAGTGTCATGGCTCGAGGTACGTGTCTAACCCAAGACATGCAGAATCAGCACACGTAGTCCAAAGCAGTAAAGTAAAATGTCTTTATTATAAAAACGGGAACTGAAACCGCACAGGGAAGTCCTGTGGGATGAGCAATAAGGCTCGAGTCTCTGAGGTGCTCAGGTTAATCAGTAGAGGAGGGGAAGCCGGGGAGGACGCTGGGCAGAGGATGAGAGATCCAGGAGGGGTGAGGTAGCAGAGGGAAAGCCAAACAGGAATGGCGGAGGAGGATGGGACGTGATGAGTATGTTCCAGAAAACGAAGACAGCGAGGGTGAGTAGATGATGAGATGATCCTGAGCGAGACAAAAACAGGCGTAAGGGATAATCCAATTCCAAATCCAAAATACAATCCAAGGTAATAAATCCACTAGTCGAAGGCGAGTCAAAACACAAATTAACAAGATCAAAGTTCAGAGTCGAGTGGCTGGTGCTACCTAAACTGGTGCAATCATCCGGCAAAGTGGTGTGTCTCCATCCTCCTTTTGAACCCGCGTCCCTGATTGGGAAATCTCCTGCAGCTGCCGCTCCCCCTGCTCCTCACCTGTGGAGAATTAGCTCAGAGTCTGGTGAGAGGAGAAGGTGTGACTCACCTCTGCCCAGGAACATGACAGTGCCCCCCCCCCCCCTCAACGGACGCCCCCCGGCGTCCTAGCACCGGATCTTGAGGCCTCGAAGTCCGAGATGAGAGAGGGGTCCTCGATGTTGGACCGGGGAATCCAGGAGCGTTCCTCCGGGCCGTACCCCTCCCAGTCCACCAAATATTGAAGACCCCGACCACGGGGGCGAGAGTCGAGGATGCGCCGCACCTTGTATACCAGCCCCCCTTTGTAGAGCTGAGCAGGAGGAGGCGGAGCCGGAACCGGGCACAGAGGGCTGGAAACGACGGGTTTGATCAGGGAGACATGGAACACAGGATGGATCCGAAGAGACGACGGGAGTTCCAACCGCACGGTCGTCGGACTAGGGACCGCCGCAACCTTGAAGGGACCAAGGAACCTAGGAGAGAACTTCCTGGTGGTCGCCTTCAGCGGGACATCCTTGGACGACAACCAGACCATTTGACCGGGAGAGTAGGTGGGAGCAGGACGACGGTGTCGGTCAGCCAGTCGCTGATTCCTTTCCGCGGTCCGCTGAAGAGCCAACCTCGTGGTGATCCAAGTGCGGCGGGCCCGATGAAGGAATTGAGGAGTGGTGATGGTGGCATCTGTATGAAGGGGGAACAGAGAGGGCTGATATCCGAGGGAGGACTCGAAGGGAGACTGACCTGTGGCGGAGGAGACATGGCTATTATGGGCATATTCGACCCAAGCCAAATGCTCACTCCAGGTGGATGGGTTGGTGGCGCAGACGCAGCGAAGCATGGCACCCAACTCTTGGTTCATCCGCTCGCATTGTCCGTTGGTCTGCGGATGAAACCCCGAGGTCAGAGCCACCTGGGCTCCCAAGGCGGTGGCAAACTCCCTCCAGACACGAGACACGAACTGGGGGCCTCGGTCAGAGAGGATCTCTGTTGGGATCCCATGCAGACGAAAGACATGTTTAATTAAAAGCTGGGCCGTGACGGCAGATGTAGGGAGAGCCTTTAACTGCACCAGATGACAGGCTTTGGAGAACCTGTCCACAACAGTTAAAATGACACTAAAACCATGCGAAGGTGGCAACCCACAAACAAAGTCCAAGGCAATATGGGACCAAGGACGGGACGGCACTGGTAGGGAACAGAGTAGGCCTGCTGGAGACTGATTGGTACCTTTTTGTTGGGCACAGACGTGGCAGGCCGACACATACT